CCGGAAGGAAACAGCAACCAAGACCTAGTATGGTGAACTGAAGGTGAGAATGCTGCAAGGGATAGAGAATTCTCAGGAGAATAAGAGGTCGGAGACTTCGAGGAAGCGCTAACAGAGGGATTGGAGCCACTGGGAGAGTTATGGGATCTGGGAGAGGAAGGGGAAAACAATTGCATAGCTGGAGATAACTGTGACACAGAAGGATTAGAGCTGCTGGGAGAATTAGGGGTCGAGGGAGGGGGAGATGGTCGCACAGCGGGAGGTAACAAGGAGGAGTGATTTTGGGGCTAGGTGGGCAGCGGCCGATAAAAAACCAGGGGTACTTCATCGAGCATGAGGGCAGGAGGGGAGAGTTTGTGGTTCAGCAGAGTTAGCTAAAAGTACCTGGCGGAGGTACAGGATTTAATGAGAGATGGGTGTGTTCTCAGAACAAGGAAAGCCTGCACATTAGGGATCTCTGTTAACTTGTCACCAGACTGACAGAAATCATAGAAGTTTTTGAGAATACAGGGGTCAAACGTCCCTTCTCTGGGCCAAGGGCTGCCGATAAGTGGGTAGGTTGGCCAAACCTCCTGGCAGTAAAAAGTTAATTGTTTAGTTTTTATGGTGCTTTTAATCTTAAGACTACGTAGATTGGAAATTAGGTATTGTAGAGGCATCTTTTGGGAATTAGAAAAAACGTCATGACTAATTCAGGCAAGAAACGAGCCGTGGTCCGGAGGGTGAGCCATCACTCATCCCATGGCACCAAATGGCAGTTAGGGTCCAAAAACTCATATATTCCAGTTGTCACTGAGAGATTTATGAGTGGATTCCACATGGGGTCAGTAACAGTTCTGCCCATGAGAGTGTGAAGCTCTGAGGAGAATGAGGGTCTTACAGTGTGGGTGGTCCAGAAAACTCTGCCTTGGGCTATCCGAACCCAAAGGACGTGAGAGATTTTTGAGTGTGGACACAGGTTGCCCAGAAAGACCCTGTCCTGGACTGTCTTAAGGATGTGAGAGCGTCATGACCCCATGCGAAGGGGGAGAAAACTTGCCTGGGGCCAAGCCCAGTGCCAAGAATTCTCCGGGGTTTGCTCACCCAAGATTAATCGGGCTGGTGTTGTGTTCGAATGGTTGGCGACAAGTCAAGCAAGTCTCGGGAGAGGAAAAGCGGAGAATTAATCCAGGATGTAATCCGGTTCGTGAATCAGCTGGGGACTCAAACTGGGTGTGTGTCCCAGGAGTCAATCGCCTGCTGATCGAGTCACAGCACCAAATGATAAGATTATATCCAAAAGATGAGACGTATAAAACAAAAGAGGCCTTTATTCTGAGAACACAGAGAAAACCAAAACCCCCGACCGCTGGAGTCTGGCTTTCTCTCTGGCAGACACGTGACGTGGGGGGGTATGTAAGTAGCCTCGGTTTGGGGTGGAACCTAAAGGGTCATCAGGGGTGTACGGGTAGGCCATTGGTCTTTGTTTGGCACCATAGGTAAATTCCTAGGGGTGGGGGAGATAGGAGCTCCTTGGTTGTGCCTCTCAGGCTTCACCAGCTACAGTGTCCTGTCTGGGCCAGAACCCTTTCAGTTATGGGTAACTGCATGCTTTTCTCTTCGATGCCTGCAAAAGGAATTGTACTAGAAGGCAAACATCAGAATCTGTCCCAACAACAGTAATCTGTAAACTCCGAAACTGTTTACTGTAAACCCAGCACTCAGAAGGCTGAGGCAGGAGGATCATTGCAAATTTGAGACCAACCTGGGCTATAAAGTGAGTTCAAGACTGGCCTGAACTCCATAATAAGACCCTGACTTGAAAGGACAGAAAAGGAAAAAAATTTGTTTTCTGTGAAGTGTTTGTGGATTACCTTACTGAATATCAAGAATAAATTATCTGTGCAACAACAAATCCCGTGTCTGGCTGAACATGTTCCACTGTGTCGGTTGTGTAAGTGTCTGCTTCCCATGGAGGGCTGGGGGTCCTAGCTCCCAACCTACTAGATGTCCGCGACACAGAGTTTGTGCTCTCTAAAATAAAATTTTAGGAACAACGGAGGTTGAATATATTTATTGAAAGAAAGAAAGCTCTTGTCTGCAAGAGATAACCCAAGTGGGTTTCCAAAGGCAGAGTCTTTGGACCTTTTTTTTTTAATTTTTAAAATTTTTTTATTGGTACTGGGGATCGAACTCACGACCGACTGCCTACAAGGCAGGTGCTTATGCCGCTGAGCTAAATCCCCAGCCACTTCTCTAGGGACCTTTACAAAACAAACCATGAGGTGAGGTGGGTCTAAAATTAAAAATGGGAACTCACAAGGTGGGCATGAGGTGGAACAGAACCATAGCCAGCCACTGAGATGACGAATATAATTGTCTAGGTAAAATGGATTAAATAGGGATCAAATGGGGAGGTGAATCACATAGAAAGGGGCCGTGAGGGCAGAACAGGACCTTTGTCTGTAGGGAGTTGGGTTGATGGCTCCTCTGGCTTCCTCAGGGTGATAGAGACTTCTTTAGAATATCACCCTTAGGATGTGGGTGCTTTTGTTTCATCTTTGTCTTGAGGTCTCACCCACAGTGAGAGGTGTCTAGCTCCTTCAAGGTTGCAAGGCATCTGGTCTTCTGCACTGGCTCCTTCGAGGGCCCAGCCCTGTCTGACCAGATATATTTCTAATTAACTCAGCTGCCTGTAACAAAATCATATCAAGTATTTGATGCTTTCTTGACAGTTAGGAAAAGAAGAAAACTTGAATGCTGTCATGAGTTGGGTCTGAGGGTCCCTGAGGCTAAACTAAAGAATTTAATACACCTTTTTGTAGAATAAATTTGTGGGTTCATTGGCTCTCATTGTGGAAAAAGAGTTTTCAGATTTAGGACGCCCTCAAGAGCAGGGTGCAGATGCTCAGGGAAATGAGATGCTTTACTGCTGGGAAGTGAGGATCTTCGCGTGTTCTGGACGGTGGAAGTCTGTGGAATCTGATAAGCTACAGCCATGGCCTTGTTTAGGGGGGAGAGCTTGGTTTAGGTCTAGTGAGATGATGCTGCATTCCTGGGCGGGGTGGGAGGCTGTTAAAAGGTGGTCTCTTCACAGGCGAAGGAGGATCATTTGCAAGTAAGGAATGGGAAAACCCATTTGAAGAAGAAAGGTAATTGCTCAGGTTTACTGTGTTCTGGAAGAGAAAAAGGAAGAGGAGGAACATAGGAAGGAAGGAGAAAGAAGAGGAAGAAAAGCGAAGAAAGAAGTTGGAAAAAACTAGGGTTTATGTCCTGCGGCTGCAATTTTCCTTAAGAGTACAATTATTAAAATCTCAATTTCCAAGTTTCCTTCCTACCCATGTCGGTTTTGTTTTTCCTATTGTACCTTGGCTGGGAGTCAGGAGTGGAACATAAAGTCCAGATGAATTTATTTACAGGCTGAGACAGAGACCAAGGAAAAGGAGAGTTTGAAAATTCCTCACGCAAGCCAGGCTGGGCTCCAGGGCTAGCTCGCATCACACTGCCTGCCTCCGGGATCTCAGGGCTGGACCATCACGCCCTGTGAAAACAGGGACCCTTGAGCTCACACAGGTAATGGGATCCAACGGGAAGTGGTGGGAGGACTTCGGCTTCCAGCGCAAAGGAGAGCTGGAGAGTAAAACACCACAAGTGGGGCAGAACAGGAGGCGAGAAACTAGGGGGAACGGTCACCATGGCAAAGACCACATGATGAAGGCCACTTGGAAAGGAGGATGGATGACTGGGGTGGAGAATAGATGTTTTGGTGAAGAATTGAGGGAAATTATTTCAACTGTCTTTAAAGCACATTTATGTCATTTCTCAGCCTTTTGGCTAAGATCAACTGTGAAGCACATTTATTGCCACTGGCCTAATAATCTTAACCAGGAAGCTGGAAGTGGAGGCCCAGGTCTATAATCCCAACACTCTGGGAAGCCCGGGCAGAAGGATTGCAAGTTTGACCCATGCCTGGGCAAATAAAAAATAACCAAGCGCTATGGAGGCTCCTGGTTTTAGGGGTGCTGGAGTCTCCTTTGGAGGTGATTTCTAGGTTCTTCCTGCCCTGAGCAAAAATTACTTACGATCAGCAGAAACAGTAGTGAAGTTTTATTAAAGGCACAAAACAGACTTGGCAGATCGAGTTCGAGACGAGTAAAAGCAGGGAAAGAAGTACACTCTTTGTGGTGAGAGTGGCCTCTTTGCAAGAGGGACACAGTGGCAAGGACTCCACGTGGACGTCCTAGTGTCACCCATCCCTCCGGCTGCCATTGATCTCGGCTCTCCTATGGAAAACCAGCTCCGGTTCTCGCGAGAGATGTAGCGCTTTGGGAACTGTTCTGCCTTTGCGTTTTGGGATTTTGTGCTTTAGGGGTTATACCTCCCCAGGTAGTTTTCCCACACCCTCATCTCCTGTCTCGGGACAGAACTCAGTTCAGAGACCCTAGATTCAAACCCTGGCTGTTACCACACATGCCGCGTTTGTGGTTCCACAAATACCCTGAAAGGGAAGTCATGAACCAAACGAGGAAGTTGGGAGAGATATTAGATGAAAGAAAAATATATCCTAATTTCCTGAGTAGGAGCTGTGTCCTCCGTGTGGGTGGCCACTCAAACCAGAGCTAATTATAGGTAACCAGAGCACAGGACCTGCCCAAATGTTTAGTGTCCATGTATCACAGGTGGTTCTCTGTGTTTAAAATGACCAGTTGGAACTCAGGCTTCTAACCCAGTTCTTCAAGAAGTAAGGTTTAAAGGAAATGGGCATTTAGAGAAGAAAAAAAAAAGGATTAGTTTGCATGTTGATTTCTTCAGAACCCAGGAACTTAGCAAGGAGTGCGGTGCATCCATATAAAGGAGGAGTCACTGCACTTGAGCCCCTCAGCGCTCAGGTGCTCAGTAGCGAAAGGTTGTGCAAACCTAAGGAGGGGGCGTGGCCTGCGTCCATATTTATATCCCGGAACCTTTGTTTTCAGCCTGGTGCGTTCCAGGGAGGACGCCGCGCGCTCTCCGTGCCGCCCGTGCTGCTCTTCCGGTTTCCCCGTCTGGCTTCCGGCTCGGCCGAGCCTCCGCTGCAGCCATGTCGGGCTTCAGCCCCGAGCTCATCGACTACCTGGAAGGGAAGATCTCCTTCGAAGAGTTCGAGCGGCGGAGAGAAGAGAGGAAGACGCGGGAGAAGAAGGTGCGGAGACGCCGGGCCGGCGGGCGGGAGAAGCCGGAGCTGAGCGCGGGGAGGGGCGCGGGAGGGCTCGGGGCTGAGGACGGAGCGGTCCCCGGCCGGGCCGCCCGTGGTGTTGGCGGTAGTTTTAGGGAGAAATAGCCCAGTCTCGCCTGTGGTCTCCAGGCCGAAGGGCGGAGACGCACTCAGACCTCGGGTACTAAAAGTAACGGAGGCTTTCGAAGTGGGTGGTTTCGTGCGATTGGCAGTCTTCACTCGGGTATTTCAAAGTTAGTTTTGAAAGTGGATGAATAAAAGCGCAGTAGTGTGAAATGCTTAGGCAGAATTCTGATTTACATTCCACACACTGTGTAGGGTTCAGATTTTATAAATGCAAAATAAAGCAAATGCATTGCTCCTAAAGACATGATCTGACTGTAGTTCGGGCTGGCCTTGAGCTCACTGTGTAGCCTAGACTGGTCCGGAACTCGGAGATCCTTCAGCTTCAGCCTCCCCAGTGTGGGGATTATAGGCCTGTGCCACCAGCCCTGTGCAAATACCCTTTTCCCCTTCAATTAGATTTTATTGGTGCATTTTATTTATTTGTGTGGAATCTAAAAGTGTAAATAAGGACTGCACATGGAGACCTTGTGTACCTCTATCGTCTATTTTAGACCGGGTTGCACTGTGCAGTTCAGGCTGATCTTGAGTCAGTTTGTAGCCCAGGCTGGTTTCAAACTTGGAACAATCCTCCTGCCTCAGCCTCTGTAATTCCTCCTGGAATTACAGAGGTGTGCAACCATGCCCACTCTTACTACTACATTTCAGTATCTATAATGACCACATTCGTTATAGAGACTTTGTACCTGTACAGGTGAGACAATCTGATTCTTTTTTTCCCATTCCCTGTCCTTCTTTCAGCTCCTCCTCACTTCCATTTATAAAAGCTTTGTTTTCATGTTTTCTTTCTTTTCTCCCTTTTTCTTCTTTCTTTCTTTCTTTCTTTCTTTCTTTCTTTCTTTCAACTTTTCCCTCTTCCCCCCTCCCATGTTCTCCCCATTTCACAATACCTAATAAACATCTTGGGCCTTATTTACACTTTTAAGTTTCTCACATTAGAGAAACAATGCTGTATTTACACGTGTGTCTGATTTATTTCAGTTAATAGTGCAGTCTCAAGGTGCATCCGTTTGCCTAGAAGTCTCTCAAGTTTACCCTTCTTTATAGCAATACAGTACTTTATTGTATAGAAAACTCATATCTTTTTCTTTTCTTTTCTTTTCTTTTCTTTCTTTTTTAAAATTTTTTGGCATTTTGAGATGGTCTCTGCAGTTCAGGCTGGCCTTGGGCTCACTTTGTAGCCTAGGCTGGTCTCAAACTTGCAAAATTAAAAAAACCCCACATCCTTTTGCAATCCTGGAATGATGGGCATTTGGGCTGTTTCCGAGATTAACTGTGACAAACCGTGCTGCTGTAAACATGGCTGCACGTGTGTCATTGTGGTGTGATGCTTTTTGGTCTTTCAGCAAGACACCCAGAAGGGAATAGCCAGGTCACATAGGACCTGGATCTGGTTTGCAAATGCCCTCTTAACAGACACAAGGGTTGGCTGAGTTGTCACTGAGTTTTGCAATAAATTAAAACTGTCAACTACAGGGTCTTCAGGAAGAAGGAAGATTAGCAGCTGAGGAAAACCCAGAGGACTCTGAAGCGCCCTCGTCATCCGGGATCAGCTGTGGCAAAGCCCAGGTCCGAGACCTCAGTGAAGGTGCGTTGAGACAGTTCACTACCGGCCTTAAATGTTGAGAGCACCGAGGGGCGGCCCCAGCTCTGTCCTCACCTTTGCCACTGGATCTCACATAGTTGCCTGCGTTGGCTGCAAACTTGCATCCTGAGTAACTGGAGCTGTAGGCCTGTGCCACCGTGCCTGGCCCAGGAAGTGTATCTTGAGTCAGTAAACTTTGTGAGCCCCAGCGTTGGAAAGTGTTTCAGGTCACATCAGTATTTGTTTAGGGGCCTGTTCATGTATATTGAGTGATTCGTGGTCCTTGGGATTGAAGTCGGGGAGCGCTGAGTGGCATCTCTAGTCCTGTTTGTTTGGGGACAGGGTCTTCCTCCCTTGCCCAGGCAGGCCAGGCTGTCACTGGCTGCCTGCCCCACCCGGGACCTTTCTAGGCTTTCTCAGTTGGTGGCCTCCTCCACCCCATCCTCCTCCAGTGGTACCGAGTTACACTGCTGTACAAGCAGTTCCAAGCTGTGTGAGACAGGAAGGCCGGCCGGCTGCTCTGATGGGACTTACATGTGGCATCAAGAAACGCTTTATGTCCTGACCATCAGTGATACCGTCACAGAATCCTCACATCTCAGCTCTCCAGTGCTTAGCTTTGTAAATCTGGATCCTGAATGCGTCAGTGCCTCGCACTAATGAGGTTTCTTGGACCCAATCAGTGACCTTGCCCTGTCACTGGGTGGATTCGCAGTGATTGCTTCATGTTTCCTGATCAGAGTGCCCAGTCAAGTTAGCCGGGATGCCGGATGCCCGCAGACGGGAGCTCTGGGTGCGGGGTCGGGCTGAGAACTAAGCCGAGCACCAGTCCGGTGGAGCTGGTGGGGGCTGGCGTAGAGTTTGCTGCTCCTCCCCTGAGAAATGAGCCTTACAGTGGAGTGCACACTGGGGAAAACAGACGAGGCTCACTCCTGTGCCTGGGCCGAGTGGGAGGCGGGACTGGGAGGAGCCTGTGCCCTGACAGGCAGGGGGGGGTGGGAAAGGGGCCGGGGTTGTCCTGACGCCCTGTGGGTCAATGCATAGGTGCCGGGGGAGCGGCTGTCCACAGGGCTCTGGAGGGGCAGTGACCGTCCTCCTCCCTGCCCGCAGCTCACCCCTGTGCTGGCCTCGGTCCTCCCTGGAAGCACGGCCTCAGCTGAGAGGGGTCGGGGCTCCTGGTGAGCTGTGAGGCAGGCAGCTGGCCGCCCTCCCCCAGAGACTCCCCTCAGCCTAGAAGGACAAAGGTCGCCCCGTTTCTAGAAGGACTGGCCCCCGACTCTTGGTGGGTGAGCGAGAGCAGGTGCTCTGTGCAGGAGAAGGGCTGGGCTCAGAGCCAGCTCTGGCGAAGTCTTGTTGGAATACATTTTCCATTTTCTCTCCTCCCGCATAGGAGAGAAATGCTGTGAGAGAATAGCTGTCATTTTTATCCTATATTTCCTTAGGACATTTTTATGTAAAACCTTACTACTATATGTGTCAAAATAAGCTAGTTTTGTTCTTAAATGCTAATAAGACCTTCTAACTTCATCCTTGTTGATGTGTTAAAAAAAAGTTTTTTAGTAGCACTGAGGGTTGAGCCCAGGACCTTTGCACAAGGTCATGTTCCCCAGGTGTTTTGTCAGTTGCCCAGGCGGGGCTTGAACTTAGAACCCTCCTGTCTCAGCCTCCGAGCCGCAGTGAATTTTGATGTACTGACCCTTTGCCCACTAACCTTGTGTAGCTCCTACACCCAGGTTTGTGTGTGGAGTCTTTCGGCTCTTCTGTATGTCGTGTGTGGGTAAAGGTAGTTTTTCTTCCTCGCCATCACTTGTGCCTTTTGTTTTTGTGCGCATGGCCAGGCCTCCCTGGCCAGCCCTCCTAGGAGTGCTGAAGGGGGGCGGGAACTGCAGGAGGCTCTGTGTCATTCCCAGTGGCTTCCTGTTTCTTTCCTGTTGCTTCTTCGGGGTTGGGTTTTTGAGACAGCTGCGCAGTTGTGGCTGGCCTTGAACTCACCGTGCAGGCCACACTGGCCTCCAGCTCCAGGGACCCCCCTCAGCTTTTCAAGTGCTGGGATTGATTGCAGGTGTGCACGCCACGTCTGGCTTGTTGAGGGGTTTTGCCCGTAACTTCTGATAATCCTCAGTGACTGGCTGTGTGATTTCCTTATTGGGACATCTTCCATATGCAGAGTGCCAGCGTACGTCAGAGCGTGTCTACCTGCACACAGCATACCTTGCTTTTCGGTTTTTTTCTTTTTTTACCATTCTCCCTCCCTTCCATCCTTCTCCTAACTCAAAAGCTTTGTTTCCATTTTTATCCTTCTGTTCTTCTTCCTCATCCCCTTTTGTATCCCCCTCCTCTCCTTGTTTTCCTTCTGTTTTGAACATTTTCTTCCAATGAAAGTTGTTTTTCCTTGAGATGGGCTCTTGCTGTGTAGTTGAGGCTGACATTGAAACCACATAGCCCACACTGGCCTGGAATTCACAGGACCCTCCTGTCTCGGCTTCCCAAGCCTGGGATTGTAGGTTTGCACCACCATGCCCGGCTTATGTAGATACTCTTATTAGAGATTCTGCCTTTCCTTCCCAGTTGACCAAGCCTTACAGCCATTTTTGGGTACCTTTTCTGAATATGTTACATGTGTCTGCTTTAACAGAAAACTGGCCTCTGACCTGAGACTTGCTCATTCAGGGTCATCTTGTGAATGTCCCGAGATCCTGTAGTGGGCTCCTGAGCTGCAAGGGAAGCGCGTGGCATTAGTGGTAGTGCGCCCACGCCGTGGTACCCTGAAGAGTAGCATTAAGCTGGCCCGTCCTGTGCGCCGGACGCTTCAGGCACGCACGAGTGCCTGGGTGCTTTGTCCACGGTGGTACAGCTCATGCTGGCAGTGACATTTGAAGCCAGTGGCCTTGCTCTCCGGGCCTCCTCTGTCCTTGATGCTAGCGTGGGTGGTGTCCTGTCAGCCTCGGTTACCTTAGGTCTGTGTCCCACGGTGACAACTGGGAAGGTCTTCTCCCTTTGGACCACCGGGTGACTTGTCCCACTCCCCCGTCTCTTTGCTCAGGAGAAACGCCAGATGGGGTGAGTAAGTCCGTTCAGAAGGTCTTTGACTCAATGCTTGGTGAGACTGAAGATGACGAGGAGGACGAGGAGGACGAGGAGGAGGAGGAGACCCCTGAGCAGCCCACAGCAGGCGACGTGTTTGTGTTGGAGATGGTTCTCAATCGTGAATCCAAGAAGATGATGAAAGTACGTCTTTACTCAATTTGGTGTTTGTTTCAGGAAGTGCCACTGTCCTTGAAGGGAAGTTTAAGTACACTCTGGAAACACTTAAAGAACAAGAGAAGAAACGCAATGGGACAGTAGCTGTGCTTTCTCTTAGGGAATCTTACGTTAAACCTTGGTTACTGCTATGAGTCCAGTGAAGTAGTTTACTGTTAAAAGGTTTATGGGGTATCATGCTTTTTCATTTAGAGTAAATAGATTTGCAAGGTGGATCTTTAGTGGAATATATCAGAATAAGCTTCTTGGCATGTAAATCCGTTTTCCAGCGTAATGATTTTACTCCAGTTAGTAATTTAGCTTTTCAGACCACTTTCATTTTTGTTCCACTTAAATATTTTACAGTGTAGCTGCAGATTTAGCTCAGCGGCATAAGCGCCTGCCTTGCAAGCAGGCAGTCGTGAGTTCGATCCCTGGTACCAATAAAAAGGAAAAAAGCCCCCCCCCCCCAAATTTTTTTTACAGTGCTTTGAACTTTCCACTCTAGGAAGCTTTGTTTGTGCTTCTATTTCTGTATGCTTTTATTTACTTTTAGGAAAATTTTGTAACTTCATTTCACAGATAATTCTGTTTTTTTCTGCAGTTGACTTTTTCCTGCAGTATGGCCTTTTAAGGAGTCAGGACTGCAGCCATTTAGGGTCCACTTCTGAGTTAGAAGATAAGAAAGTTTAAAGGATGTTTGTTTCGTTGTGTTCTGTATTTATTGCTGTAGTTGAGTTGAAGTCTTAAACTTCACTGTGCTCTGATTGAGATGTCCTTTGTCTGCTACAGGAGAAGAGGCCTCGGAGCAAACTTCCCAAGGCGCTGAGGGGCCTGATGGGGGAAGCCAACATCCGCTTCGCTCGGGGAAAGCGGGAGGAGGCCATCCTGATGTGCATGGAGATCATACGGCAAGGTGCTGTCCCTGGGGCTGGCCGGGGAGCGGCGCAGTAACCCGACTGTAACGCAGACGGGAAGCGCTTCCGTGAACTGCCTGGAAATGCAACCAGGAGCTTAGGGGTGTTTGTTTGTTTGTTTGTTTTTGAGACAGAAGCAATGTAGTACAGGCCGGTCCCCAGTGCACTAGGCAGCTGGCCTTGAGTTTGCAGCATTCCTCCTGCCTCAGCCTCCAGGGTGCTGGGGTCACAGGTGTGCACCACCATGCCTGGCCTTAGAGCAGTATTTTGATAACATGGATTACCAAGTCACCGTGATGTTCTGGGGTGGGTGCTGTTTAGCTGCTCTGTGCTCTCAGTGGTCCCCGGGTTGGCTGCTGGATGCTGAAAGTCCTCTCTGTGCCAGTGTGCTTTGGAGTGGCCCTGCTGAGTAACTGGCAGAGAGCTGGGCTTTTGATGATGCTGTTTACTTTGTTTTGTTTAAATAATGGTTCATTAAAAACTCTAAAAATGCATGAAAATGAAGTGAATGTGTTTAAATTCCATTAAATACCTTGTATAATTGCACTATGTGATTTTTAAAGAGTTTTGTATTTAGAAAGAAAAACGCACAGTTGAGCTGTTGCATCGATGTCAGCTCCCGAGCGTCCCTCAGCCAACGGCATGTGCTTCCCTACCTCCTGCAGCGCCTCTGGCATATGAGCCGTTCTCCACTCTTGCCATGATATATGAGGACCAAGGTGACATGGAGAAGTCCTTGCAGTTTGAACTGATTGCCGCTCATCTCAATCCCAGTGACACTGAGGAGTGGGTTCGACTGGCGGAAATGTCCCTGGAGCAAGACAATATTAAGCAGGCTATTTTTTGCTACACGAAAGGTAATGAGAATAAACCCTCACTTTGAGTACATGTTTCATAATAGGTGTTTGGTAATTGCGCTGGCTGCTGTGGGTGTGATGTTGGTGGAAATGTGTTTGTTTTGTACGGTCTGATTTAACCAAGATACTTGGGTCTATCTGTTCTTGGCTTATCAGCAGCTTTACTTAACACTGAGCTGATGCAGCACAGAAGTTGGTAGAAGAACAGAACCTTTAGTTTCCCACTGCGGTATCTTGGTTCTAAGCTCCTCCTTGAAAATTCAGGTTGGATTCGAGTAACCAAGAAGCTATGGAGACTCAGATTTTCTCTGCTCTTAATCAGTCCTTATTACGGATTCCTGGGAAGATAGCTTTCTTCCAGATAACTTTCTGTTTGCCCTGGAGAATTAGTTGTGTTTATAAAATTTTCTGGGAAAATTGTAGGTCCCTCTCAGGTAGTGTGTACCTCCTGGTGATGCAAATTTTTTAAAATGGTACTGAGAATTGAACTCAGGACCTTGCCCTTGCCAGATAGGTGCTGTGCCACTGAGCTATGTCCCTGCCTCTTGTGCAATTTTTAATCCTTTCTTCTAGCTCTGAAATATGAACCTACTAATATCCGTTTCCTGTGGGAGCGATCAAGTCTGTGTGAACAGATGGGGGATCATAAAATGGCCATGGACGGGTACAGGCGCATTCTAAACCTTCTGCCTGCATCTGATGGCGAGCGCTTCATGCAGCTGGCCAGAGACATGGCCAAGTAAGTCTGGCGTCCGGGGAGTGGACGTGCTGCCGTCAGGCACCTGCTTCTGTAAGTCAAAGCATGCATTCAAGATAGAATGTGACTCTCGTGGGTATTTGAAGAAGTAGTTTATGTTGTTAAATATAATTTTTTAAAAAATCTTTTTATTTTGGTGCTTTTCTCTTTCCAAGTCAGCTGATTGCTTAGAAAATTTTATATATGAAGTTATAATTCCACTGCTCAGATGCTGAAAAATGAAGCATGTTCTGAAAGGTGGTGAGGTTCCTAGATTTTCATAACTAACAGGAAGTGGTGCATATTTGCAGTACTTTTAAAATTATTTTTTGTTGCATATATGCCAGCGAAGTGTTTGTGATCTGGAATCTTACACTCATTTCATCTTAAGCCAGTCGAATAACATTTTGAGACTAAAAAGTTTCTGACTGCCATGGAGATCTTCCCATGTGTTGCTGGATTAGGTTAAAGAGAGTAAGCAGAGCCTTGGGAGACGAGGTGGGGAGCAGGCAGCACTGGAGGGGCTCGTGAGGGCCAGAGGAGTGAGCTGCAGGAATGAGAGGCAAGGGGAGAATCACAGTGTGCGCGTGCGGTAGGTTCCCGACTTACACACAGGTTCTACTCGGAGAAAACGTTTATGAAGTTGGATTTGTTCCTACACAACACACCGGTAACAAGTTTGCAACTTGAGTGTTTGCACCTTAGCAGCTTACTGTATTTAGATGGAACTGTCCAGAATTGGAGACATACTGAAGTTTGTGAGAGCCAGGACAGTTATATTCCTTCCTCGGATTTTAAGAAAACAGAAGTCAGTTGTTAGATCGCCAAACTAGGACGCGAGTTTCATAATCAGAATTAAGCTTTTGTCTTGTCCATCCTTCAGGAGTTACTATGAAGCCAATGATGGTGCCTCGGCCATCAACATAATGGAAGAAGCTTTCTCCAAACACCAGGCCCTGGTCTCCATGGAGGATGTCAACATGGCAGCTGAGCTGTACATTTCTAACAAGCAGTATGACAAAGCTTTGGAGGTAGGTGTGCTGCCATCTTTTCCTGACATTTGTGCGTGTTTCTGTGTTCTTAAAAATTGGACACCACGCTGGGCGTGGTGGCATAAGTGATCCCTGCACTTAGGAGGCTGAGGCAGAAGGATCAAGGCCAGCCTGGACTGCATGATGAGTTCTAGGCCAGTCTGAACTAGTGACACCATCTCTCAAAAAATAAAAGTTGGCCATTTTAATCATGTTTAAATTAGGTATCCAAGTAACCAGTTTCTAGATTCTGTAGTAATTCCACATGAGATGTAGAATGCAGGTCTCTGGTGGGGCGTGATCGCCCGTGATGGGGTGCTGCGTGTTTCTGTGTGCCCCGGCAGCAGAGCTGGCAGCAGGTATTGAGAGCCGACTCAGACTCTGTGGGTGCTGGGGTCCTTAGCAGGTGGGGTTTCACACACCTTTAGTTAGCACTGGTTAGCGGGGAGTGCGTTTGCCTGTATGGCAGGATTCCTCATTTTCAAAGACTTACTGTTCCTTCTCATACCCCATTTTTATGGTGCAGGGATTACTTGATTATTTATAAATCTCCAAGGGCTGGGGATTTAGCTCAGTGGTTAAATAAGCACCTGCCTAGCACGCATGTGTTGGATCCCCGGTACCAAAAAACGTCTGCACATTATGAAAAAGGCTTTCCATAAATAGTGTTACTTCCTTTCTCTTTTGCTGATTTCTCAGGTCATTACGGACTTTTCTGGAATTGTGCTAGAAAAAAAAGCTCTGGACGAAGGCAGCCCCCCGGAGGAGCATGAAGGTTGTAGTTTGCTGGCACAGCAGCAAGTCATTGTGCCTGCTGGTCTACCGGGTAGCGGATGTTCTTAGGGTTCCCCTGCCACGAGCGCACCAGGCTTCCAGGGACCTGGCGTGGGTGTGGGCCGGGGATGGGAGCCTCACTGGGCCCTGTCGGCCCCGGAGTGCTTGGAGTCCGCGTGCATCTCAGGGGGACGCGGGGTTGTGGCAGTCTCGGTGCTGTCCCTGAAGGGGCTCTGTAGTCCGGGAGGCATGGCTGTCGAGGCGCAGGTTTCTTAGTTCTTCTGATGTGAAAACCAGGAGAGTGAGTTGTCTCTTTACGGGGTGAGGGTCAGTCACGCGTCACCCTGGCTGGCGGGCCTTGCAGACGTCCCTGCCCCTGTCCCGGCAGCTTGCTGGCCCTGTGGCCCTTGCTGTTTCTCTGCACCTGCCTGCCTGAGTTGGTGACCATGTGACAGGCCGGGCCCAGGCTCCAGCCTGGCTGCGCTGCTCTTGTTCCCTGGAGCCCTTCCTGCCCCGTGAAATGTTTGGCCGCTCTGCCTTGTCTTAGCTGAGGTTGTGACCTCTGCTGTCTTCTGTCTCTGCCTGCTCGGTTGGACTTTCATTTCTGGCCCTGCAGAATGGCTTGATTTTAGCCATCTTGATTTCAGGACAGTTGACGTTTGCTTTGTGATTTGATGTAGCAGCGAGGATTTTGGTTTTAGCGTTTTGCAGACGGTCTTATGAGGCGTATCTCCCGGAGCAGCGTCTGAGTGCTGCTGTGTGGCACTGTGGCTGGGGTGCTTTACAGGCCCAGAGGCCAGGCCGGCTGAGATCGGGCCCTGGTGCGCTGGCGGCCGGCAGCCGCTCTCCTCGGGGCAGGCGGAGCGAGCGGGGGGCCTCCCTGAGGCCTCTTGCAGAGGACGGGCTCCCCACCCTTTCGCCGCTGGCTTGGGCTTCGTTTCAGTGTGGAGTTGTAGGGAACTCGATTTCTACCAAGCAGATCCAAGTGATGGGGTTTGCAGTATGGAACCCACATGTCATATCAGAGTCCCTGGAGTGGACCTGGCCTTATCCTCAGTGCTATGGCAAGGGGCTCCGTGAGAAGGCTAAATGTCAGTTATTATCTTGGCGCTGCTCAGTGGTTAAAAAGTCTCCTGATGTTAAAACTTGTCCAGATCTTCCTGTGACATGTAGCATTATGTGGTACTGTAATTTATGGCCAGTTCTAAAAAATGGATGAGTTTAATTTTTAAAGTAATTTTAGGGCCGGGGGTATGGCTCAGTGGCATAGCGCCTGCCTGACAAGTGCAAGGCTGTGAGCTCAACTTCTGGTACAAAAAAAATGCTAATGTTCTGTGCTTTTGGATTTTGTGAATTGGAGACATCAAATTTACTTGGAATTTATACAGAACATAAAATCAGTGTCAGAAGTTTTTAAAGATTTCCATAGCTTTAAAAGTTGTTTTTGCTATAATGAAGTTTTAGTAAACAGCACTATCAAAGCCAGGCATGGTGGTGCACGCCTGCAATCGCAGCGCCCCACCCCCCCACCCCGGGAGGCTGAGGCAGGAGGATCCTTGTAAATTCAAGACCAGCCTGAGCTACAAAGTGAGCCCAAGGCCAGCCTGAGCTACATAGCAAGACCCTGTCTCAGAGAGACAAAGAACAAAGAAGAAGAGGAAACGGAACCGCAGTGTCACTTTACCCATTGCTCAGCCTTTGGTAGGAGACAGTAGAAAGACAGTTTTGAGTTCAAGAAGACGCGCGTACATGTCAGTTGTGACGTTTCTGCGGAGCTTTGGTAGTGCGGGCTTCATGCACGTTTGGGTGAAGTAGACAGAAAGACGGGATGGGAAGGAACGGTGCAGAGGAGGTCAGCCGGGGCGGTATCGGGGCGGAAGGGCCGTGGAGTCGTTCGCTCGGACACAGAGCCTGAGTTGGGGTGTGGGTGAGCCCTTCGCTGCCCTGGCGAAGCTGGCAGGCGGACGGCTCCTGTCTGACTCCGCAGCCGCCGAGACTGTGACCTGCGCCATCCCCGAGGGCGTGCCCATAGACATCATGGTGAAGCTGATGGTCAGCCTGGTGCACCTCAACATCCTCGAGCCCCTCAGCGTGAGTAGCAGCGAGACCCCCGGCTCCCCCTGCACAGGAAATGACCGAGGAGGGCACAGCCGCCGGCAGCACCCTCCTGGCAGTGGCTGGGCACAGCTCAGGGCTGGGCTTGGGTTTCTTCCCCGTAAACAACCGGGATCGGCCCTCGGACAGCCCTGGCGGGCCTGGGTGCACCCTGTGGTAGAGCTTGCCGGGCCTGCACGGGGAGGAAGGGGACAGAGGGGAAACACGAGGCTTCTGCTCCGCTGGCCTGCGGGTACAGCACTGAGGAGAACACGGTACAGCGTCCCTGCTCTGATACGTCTCTGTTCCCAGGGAATGGGTGATACGGAAAGTGTTTGTAGACTGCTAGTTGGTGTAGGTGTTCTAGAGAAAAACAGAAAAGAGGGTAATTCTGTGCACGTTTTCAGTAGAGGATCGGGCCTCCCTTCCAAAGTGACCTTGAGTGAGAAGTGGGCAGAGAGGACCCCTGGAGCCGCACAGGGTGTGGGCTCAGCCCCCTGGGTCGGAGGGCAGGGAGGGAGTTGCGTCCCTTCCGCAGGCGCTGCTCCCACCGAGCCGACCCACGCGTGTGTGCTGACTCCAGCTCCTCCATGCTGCAGCCGCTCCTGACCACGCTGGTGGAACAGAACCCCGAGGACATGGGCGACCTCTACCTGGACGTGGCGGAGGCCTTCCTAGACATCGGGGAGTACGGCTCTGCGCTGCCGCTGCTCAGCGCGCTGGTGTGCTCCGAGAGATACAGTCTTGCTGTGGTGTGGCTTCGCCACGCAGGTGACGCGTTGCCCTGGGGCCCCTGGGCGGCGGCGGGGACTTGCTGTGCCAAGGTGGTCACAGTCAGAGTACCACTGTCCCAGTGCATGGATGTGTGGCTTCAGGGCAGGTTTGGAGATAAAAAATCCGTCTCCCTAAACTGCCACACAATTTCCCCACCTGCTGGTTTAGGGACCGGCTGACTGCATGGTAAGAGAGTCAAAGGACCGAGATGTCCCTCAGATCCCTGTCTTAACTGCACACTTCAGTTTCTAGCACTGTGGCACTGGACATGGGGTAAAATTAACCTGGGAAGAGTTTCTATAGATTTACATTTAACGCTATTTTTAGAAAATATTAGTTCTCATGTTCTTTAAGCTACACATTCTCAAAATGATACTTTATTAGTCATTTTATTTCACTGTGCCTATGTCCCAGTAGTGGAAATAAATGCTTTAGAGCAGAAAAGCAAGGTTTCTTACTAATTAAACATAAAAAGAGATGTTTAAGATACTGCATGATGGAAGACAGTTCTAGGCTTTCTCATAGTATATGGCAGCAGCAAGTTCTCTGCACTGGAGAGAACTGGTTGACGATTCAGGACAGGAGGTAGCTCGCCCCGTCCCAGGAACCAGGAAAGAGCCCTGCATGCTTCCCTAATAATACATGTGAGCTGTGGGAGTAAGTTTGAAAGATGAACGAAGCATCCCACACAGGGTCCCACTGCGGCCAGTTCACGTCTGCCACAGAATCCAGGGTGGGGCTTGTGTAAAAATCCCAGTTCCTAAATACGTAGGCAGCTAATAGTTTGTAAAGCACTGTGCCCTAATGAACATGTCTGTGGGTTAACTCTGAACTCACCATGTTTGCAATGTGTTACCAGAGGATACACTGGAACAATTCAGATATCAGGTAGAATGGTTAAGTAGTCACTTTATTATCCAGCTGTTCAGAAGGCCTGTGGATATGTGGTGCCACCTGGGCACAGCTGAACACCTGCCAGTGTGTGTGCTGACTGCAGTGCAGCCTTCCAGACCTAATTGGATCCCGCGCTCGGCAGATTCCCTGGCCACCCAGTAGGGATTTTGTGTGCGCACGAGCCGTGCGGGCCGAGGTGCATCCTCTCGGTGCCCTTCGCTGTTGCACGTTGCTGCAGGTGCAGAGCTGGATCCTTGGGGCGGTTTGCAGCCTGCAGCCAACCCCGCCTTCTCTGCCCGCTCCTAGAGTGCCTGAAGGCCTTGGGCTACATGGAGCGTGCCGCCGAGAGCTACAGCAAGGTGGTGGAGCTGGCCCCGCTGCACCTGGACGCCAGGATCTCCCTTTCCACCCTTCAGCAGCAGCTGGGCCGGCCTGAGAAGGCGCTGGAAGCTCTGGAGCCCATGTATGACCCGGACACGCTGGCACAGGATGCCAGCGCCGCGCAGCAGGTGGGTGCCGTCTCGCTCCTCTTGCTCAGTGCCGAGGCCACCTGCGGCCGTGTCCACGGCTCTGTGTCACTGTGTGTGACTAATCGGTTAGATTCCTCCTCTACTCAGAAGGGTGTATTTTAAGAACCAAAAAGGCAACAAATGCTATCGAGGTGGAGGGGACCTGAGACCCTCCTGCACTGCTGGCGGAAGTGTAACTGGTGCAATCACTGTGCAGTCCTGAAAAACCAGTTCCCCGGGAACGGCTGCACCTTTCTGGGTGTGCTCCCCAAAGCGTTCAAGATGTGCACTGCGGTGGTGCCCCCTTAACTCGGATCAGCCCCGAGGCTGGCCCTCAGACAGCTGGGAGGCCAGGTGAGGTGTAGACACCGCGATACCGTGACTCAGCCATCAGGAATGAATTCGTGCCCTGTGCGGAACGGTGGATGGGTTCCAGGACCATAGTGTTAGGAGAAGCACGTCACACACAGGACTGTAAATGCTGCATGACTAAGTCCAGACGCAGGGTGAAGAGGGGGGCTGCTAGGAAACGGGCGCGGGAGCCCGGGGGCCGATGGAGGTGAGCAGCAGCAGGACGGCTCCACGTGTGCACTGCGCATTGGTGGTCCCTTCCGGGGTCCCCAGAGCGAGTGCAGCTGCTGGGACTGACGTACATACGGATGAAACAGCAGTGTCAAGTTCCTGGGTTTCAGCCGTGAAGCTTGTTAGCCATTCTAAGTGGTGGTTTCTAAAACGCCGAGCCTCCGCCGTCAGGAAGATCGATGAGCAGCTGCGCCTGCAGCTTCAGCTCCTGGCGGAGCGGCTGGCCGGCCACTGGCCGGGAGCGCGTCTCACACCCACCTGTGCTTGTCCCGCAGGAGCTGAAGCTGCTGCTGCACCGCTCCACGCTGCTCTTCTCACAGGGCAAGATGCACGGCTACGTGGACACGCTGCTCACCATGCTGGCCATGCTCCTGAAGGTGGGCGCCGCCTGCTGGGGCCCCGCGGCCTCGGGAGGGTTCGTCTGGTGTCTGCAGTTGGGGGGGCTTCAGCCCTTGACGCTTCTCCAAGTCAGAGGAAAGAAGGGCTTGGAGTTTGGTGGTGTGCAGGTGAAAGTTCTCTGTGACAGTGTAATTCCCCCGAGAGGGAGCGGCAGGACGCTAGCCTGTGCTTACTGAGGACAGTGAGCCTGCTGGCGCTGTGGACAGAACCACAGCAGAGGGTACTCCGCAGAGCCCTGCTCCCGGTCAGCGTCCTCGAGCCCGGCTTTGTGCGGGAAGTAGGCACGCATGTGCTTGCTGGCGCGCACTCTCGCGCTGTCCTCTGTTTTCCCCTGCCTGGCTCCTTCTCCCTGCTTGCCCGTCTTCCCTGCGTGTTACAGTTTTTTCTTGTGGTTTTTGAGGCAGGTCTCACTGTGTGGCAGGCCTTGAATTCACTATGTAGCCCACGTGGGCCGTGAACTCATGGCAGTGCTCCTGCCTCAACCGTCACGGGTGGGATCACAGGCATGAGCTGCCACACCCAGCTCTGCACGGTTTATAAAGTGTGGGTTGCTTTCTTTTCTCTGCTAAGGTGAATAGTGTGACCTCTCTGACTCCTTTGGTAAGAAGAGTACTTTTAAGGTATTTGTGTGCCTGTATGTTTTCCAGCATGGCAGTCTGACTGCTCTTTAGAGTTTTCATTCACGTTCATAGTCTTGGATAGATCGAGTGAAACATAACTGAGTATCGTCTTTAATTCAGGTAGCTATGAACAGAGCCCAGGTCTGCTTGATATCCAGCTCCAAATCTGGAGAGAGACATCTCTACCTTATGAAAGTATCGAGAGACAAAATATCAGACAACAGTGACCAGGAGACAGCAAACTGTGATGCAAAAGGTACTTCACTTGGCGTCATTGTGTGGCTCAGCTGAGTGACTCATGAAGTAATCCGTAGTGACCACTGGAAATAGACCTTTTTCAGAAGGCGAAAGTTCGCACTCTTCATACCTCATCTACAGTAAGCTCATCTGATCTTGAAAGCTGAGTATAGGGACTGGGGGTTTAGCTCAGTGGCATAAGTGCCTGCAAGGGGAGCAGGAGGTTGTGAGTTTGCTCTCCATTACTAGGGGGAAAAAAAAGCAAAGTCTAAATGTACATGTGTGAATGGGTCGGATTCATTCCTAAATCTGAGTCTGACAAAGGGAGTCTCACACAGTGCACCTCAAATATTCCTAAATCACGGCCTTACGAACACTTGAAAGAAGCTGGCACACCCATAATCCCAGCAATGTGGCAGGCCGAGGCAGGAGGATCCAAGCTTGAGCCCTGCCTAGGCAGTGAGCAGCTTAAGAAGAACTTGTTTCAAAATTTAAAAAAAGAGAGGGGGCCAGAGACACAGCTCAGTGCAAATGTCTGGTTCAAGCCCCGGTAATGCAGAATTAACAGGAAAATATTTCTTGTATCCTTCTGTGACAGAAAAGTAAAACGTTTTTCGGGATTGGGGATCAAACTCTGGACCTCACACTTGCCAGGCAGGCACTGTGCTAAATCCTTGGCTCTAATTTTTACTTTTTAAGAAGAAAAAAATACTTGTAAGAAATTTGTGTAGCATAGATCAGAGTAGGACTATTTGTCCAGTCATCCAGTTGTGTGTGTCCCGCTCTCTACTGAACACGTGTGGTAAACAGAGGTGGTGACAGTCACGGAAGGGCTAAATAAGATGCGTCTGGTCCTGGTCTCAGGTTAGGACGAAGAGGCATCAGGAAGGCTACGCATGTAAGGTTATGTGGGGTTTCAGAAGTGGCTTAGGCTGCAGTCTCGAGCTGCAGGGAGATCTGGCTTCGATGAACTCAGCAGACACAGACTGCAGGCCATGAGAGCCGGAGGACCTGCGGGAGGGGACAGCCGCCAATCACCTGGCCCCGGGGCTGCTCGCCCATCCCGGGCCACCCCGCCAGCCCTGCCTCTGCCGCATGTGTTCCGAGCCATAGTCCTCTGTACTGACCTGCCGTTTCAGGCCTGTGGGTGGCCTTAGCTTTGCAGGGCTCGCTGATCACGGTGTGTGGGGAGCAGGTCACCCTGCAGATGGGGATCGGGTGAGTGAGCACTTCGGCCATGCCCAGGTCCCCACTCTGCTGCGGTCCCTCGGGGGAATCTTCCCACATCGCTGGTCCCTGCAGTCGTTCTGGTTCAGGAATGTGGAGAAGCCCTTTGGGCAGCAGCTGCGTAACTTACTGTTTCCTTATTTTTAGTGATTGCTTCTGATAATTAAAGCCAGTAATAAGCATCTTCATATACATATTTATTCGTATGTTGCTTGTCTGGATAGATTCCCAATGAATTACTCGATCAAAGAGTAAAAATGTTTTTTTTTTTTCTAATAAGGTTAAAGGTTTTTAACAGAGAAATAAGGGAAACAAGGCTTCTAAAAGAAAAATTTAAAGGTGGAGGAAGGACACTTGAGATTAGGTTGGGGCAGCCCGAGTCTGGGGCAAGAACTTGGCCTCGTTTGCCGAGCCGCGCAGGACGCCGCCTTCTGCATAGACACCTCCTTGGAGCGTGTTCTCCGGGAGGGAGGGAAAACCCTGCGGGCGCTGAGCCCAAAGTCCTGGGGTTGCGGGTTGTCCTGCCACGCAGAAGGGACAGTGCTTAGGGTCAGGCCCCTAAGACCAAGGTTATGGTTCTGGGGTTTTTTTTGTTTGCTTTTGTTTTTGAAAGAGGGTCTTTTTTGAAACAGGGTCACGCTCTGCAATTCAGGCTGGCCTTGAGCTCGCTTTGTAGCCCAGGCTGGCCTCGAACTTGCAGCAGTCCTCCTGCCTCAGCCTCCGCAAAGTACATCTTACAGCTGGCTGTGTGAAGCTGTCTCACCAACACTGTCCTCCCCTGCCCCGCTTGCCCCGCAGCAATATTCGCCGTGCTCACGAGTGTCCTGCCCAAGGATGACTGGTGGAACCTTCTGCTGAAGGCCATTTACTCCTTGTGTGAACTGTCGCGCTTTGAGGAGGCCGAGCTGCTGGTGGACTCTTCACTGGAATATTACTCGTTCTATGACGACAGGCAGAAGCGCAAAGAGCTAGAATACTTTGGTCTGTCTGCTGCAATTCTGGACAAAAACTTCAGAAAGGCCTACAACTACATCAGGTGACATTATTTAATTAGATTACTGGCCCGCATCCATAAAGAAGAATTAGTACATGCTTGTTGCTTACTGGTTTGACTCCCTGGTGGCTGTCAGAGGCAGTGTTTGAGACCATGGGCCCTGGAGCGAGGCTTTCCGGGTTCGGAGTCCAGCCCTGCAGCTTTGTGGCTGTGGGACCAGGGCTGCGTGTGGAACTTCTGGTGTTCCCATGGGCTGCTTCTTCAGCTTCCGTGTATAAAAAAAGTTCTCTCGCCTTGTAATCCACACAGTGGTTCAGTGGGTTACTGCATATAAAACTTAGAGCTGGTTGTGGTGGCACATGCCTCTTGTCCCAGCGCTCAGGAAGCTGAGGCAGGAGGCTTGTTGCAAGTTCAAGGCCAGCCTGAACCACATAGTGAGACCCTGTGGTGGCACTAGGGATTAAACCTAGGACTTGCACCAAGTTACCTTCCCAGTCTAACCTTTTAGAGAGGGTCTCGATAACTGTGTCACCTTTCTTAATGTTTTTTGGTTTGGTTTAAAGCTTTTGTTGAAAAACAGACAAAATGGGTTGGGAGTTTAGCTCAGCGGCATAAGGGCCTGCCTTGCAAGCAGGCAGTCGTGAGTTCGATCCCTGGTACCGATAAAAACGAAAAAGACCAAAAAAAGAAAAACAGACAAAGTATAGACCGCTAACTTGGGCAGCATTTTCTGGGATAAATCTGTGGTGGAAGAGGGTTTGCTTACATGGATTGAAGCGGTTTGTTCTTGTTGAAGGTGGCGCACCTCAGTGTGGCAAGAACACCACTGCAGGTTTCCCTCTAAGACATTAGAGTCTTTCCAGCGGTTCGTTCTTACTGTCCTCCTGCAATTTTAGGATAATGGTAATGGAAAATGTCAATAAACCCCAGCTCTGGAATATTTTCAACCAAGTTACCATGCACTCCCAAGATGTGCGCCATCATCGCTTCTGCCTCCGCCTCATGCTGAAGAACCCGGATAGCCACGCCCTGTGTGTCCTGAACGGGCACAACGCCTTTGTGTCTGGCAGTTTCAAGCACGCGCTTGGTGAGTGTCCTATCCGGCATGCAGCCTCGAGGTGTACAGAGGGTGGGCCAAGGGCCTGGCCTTGGGGGCCGGGCTGCCTGGGGCTAAACGTTAGCTTCTCCAGAGCACCTCGCTCAGTTTCCCTGCTCTCGGCTCCACAGCTCCGAAATGAAGACAGGCATTGGACCTGCACTGCAGATAACTGGGAACATTAAATGAGTTCATGTAAACCCCTTAAAACAAGGCCTGAGCCGGGCATGGTGGTGTGTCTGTCATCCAGCGCTAGGCTGAGCAGGAGAAAAATCCCGTACACAGGGTAAATGCCCTAAGTACTACAGCGGTCCCTTGGGTGCACAAAAACTGGTTTTTGCAAATAATTTTGTTTGCAAATAAGCATTTGGCAAATCTTGATTTTGTTTGTAAATTCTGCATTAGGTGATGAACACGCCTGCAGCCATCTTGGCCCACAAACGTGGCCATGTTTCCAAAACCCTGGAGCACAGCAAGAGTGGGAACCACTGTCAGAAATGATGACAGTAACATTATCCTTACAGACTTTTAGTTTTGAAGGATTAAAGTCGTTCTGTCACTCATTTTAAGGGTCAGTGATTCTCCCTGCTTTTTTAAAATACTGGTTAATTATAGATGTTTTGTCATCTAGTTCTAATTTTAGGTAATGCATAAAAGGATTTAAGATTGCTCCTAGTGATTTCTTTGTTTTTTGGTATTGGAAATTGAACCCAGAACATGGTGCTTGTGCCACCAACCTGTACCCCAGCCCTCACGGTCATTTCTTTAGGAGCAAGATTTTTATACGTTGCTTAGAAATTCTAGTTCAGTTTCAGGGAAGTTCATCGTCATTTTTGATACAGGATCAGAAGCAAACAAGAAAAATACCTGGTGAAATGTTTAAAATTGGGCACCCAGCTCCTGCTGGCTGTGGGCTGGTGTTGCCGAGTTTGCTTCTGATGAACTGTCATTGGGCTGTTAGCAGTTTTAGGTTGGGGCACGGTGGATGTTTTTGTAACTGCCATGACGTCAACCAGCAGGTGTTGAAACTGTCGTCTGCCACAGTGTGTAACTTACATCGAGGTTACTTTATGTTCCTATGTTACCGGGGCTCTAGCGTCACCGTTCTCTATCCGCACAGCATGAGGCAGAGATTCTTCCTTTAGGAGAAAACTGTGCCTGACTGTCCTGCCATGTTCGATCGCTTTTGACATAATATACACAGTTCCTAAACTCCATAATACATTAAACTTAGCTTTTCTCAGCAACACTAGTTGCTAAGTTGAGGAAAAGTAAAAACCTAGGGACCAAACCTGTTTTCCTTTTACCATTTGCACAACCACATGTGAACCTGTAAAACAAACTGGTTAACTTTGCACACCACTGCACACCGTCTTGCAGCGCAGTACACGCAGGCCTTCCGCGCGCGGCGTGATGAGCCACTCTACAACCTGTGCATCGGCCTCACCTTCGTGCACATGGCGTCCCAGAAGTATGTGCTGAAGAGGCACGCGCTCGTCGTACAGGTGAGTGTGGACCTCTCACTGCTTCTGTGGTCCTCGGAAATTCAGTGTGGGGATTCAGCACTCCGTGAAATCCTCCTTCAAACATAGTGCTGGCCACGTGCCTGCTGAGGTCCAGCAGCGCGGTGAACAGCACAGCCAGGGCACAGAGGAAAGGCCCAGCAGTGTCCCAGCCCGAGACCCACCCAAGAGAGGAGAGGGGGGAAGGGGAGGGGGCAAGAGGGGGGAGAGGGAGGGGCCGTGTGTGCCTGGTGGTCGCTGATGGTCTGTTGCTCCAAGGCGGCACCGTCATGGCCGAAGCTGTTTAGCCCATTCATGGCAGCGCAGCCCCTCTGAGTCCAGGCTGGCCTTGAACTCACCACGTAGGCCAGTATGGCCCCAAACTGGCAATGACCCTCTCACCCCTGCCTCCCAGGGGCTGCATTTCCAGGCACACGCCACCAAACGTGACTCAATGGCGAGCTCTGTAGTTCACGCGCAGCGGGGCCGCAGCTCGCCTCGCTGCTGGGCGCCTCTGGTCCCAATGCGTGGTGCCCCTGCCTGCTGGGATCACTGGTGGACACACAGTTCCATCTGGGTCCTGTGTGCTGCCCAGGCGCGGCCAGGAGCAGCAGGCACCGCCTAGTGTGGTGCCGTTATAATAACGGGGAGGTGGAAACGCTGCTCCCCAACCTCCGGGCAGAGCAGGCACTGCGCTCCCAGGGGGGCAGCCGCGGCTTGGAGCAGAGCGGACACCGCTGGCCGGGCTGGGCCAGGTGGTAGAAGATCTGGGGCTCGGGTGGCCCCGCCGGCCCGTTCCTGCGGCCTCTGTGGCACTGGCTGCACTGGGGCCCGCGGTCCCTGGCCTTGGACGTCCTCAGCCCCACACTCCCTGCCCGGGCGCTCTGTCGCCAGGTCCCCAGGAGTGGCTGTCCCCGCTGTCGCCCGCCGAGTGTCCTTGCAGAGTCTCCCCCTGGGCAGCTCTATGGGGTGCTGTGTTGCCGAGGGACGGCTCGCCCCTGGGAGCAGCGTCGGACTCCGCCCCGCCTGCCGCCACTGCTGGGGTGCGGCTGGGGTCAGATAGAGCCAGCCTCCGCTCTCCACTGTCACCAGCACCGCTGGCGGGCTCATCGTGTCACAGGACCGTGCCTCTGGGTTACGGTGCTGTGGGCAGCCGGGTCCTGAGCGCGGGACCTTTGTGAAGCGTCGTTCGCGCCCCGCGCCTGGCCAGGGGGCTCGGCGCCCCTGCCGGTGAGTGAGTGAGTGAGCCTGGTCTCCCCCGCAGGGCTTCGCCTTCCTGAACCGCTACCTCAGCCTGCGGGGCCGCTGCCAGGAGTCGCTGTACAACCTGGGCCGCGCCCTCCACCAGCTGGGGCTGACGCACCTGGCCATCCACTACTACCAGGCGGCGCTGGAGCTCCCGCCGCCCGTGGCGCAGGTACCGGCGACTGCGGCCTCCGTCTGCTGCTGGACCGGCTTGCTGGCCTGTGCTGTCCGTCACAGCGGCGGGTCACGGCTGTGGGGTTGTGGTGTTTTTGTCTGCTAAGGGAGGGTCTCCTGTGCAGTTCAGCCTGCACTGAGCTCACTCTGTGGCCCAGGCTGGTCTCAAACTTGCAATGATCCTCCTCCCTCGGCCTCCAGAGAGCTGGGGTCACAGGCATGCACAAGCCTGTCCCCGTCCCTGCACCTGCTCCTCAGCCTCGCCCCACTGTCCCTCGGCCCGCCTTCCCACAGGAGTGGGAACCTTCCTGCCAGCCTCGCCCAGCCGTGCCCCCCCCAGCGCCCTCCCGCGGTAACTGTGGGAACGACAGCGGCCGCCCCTTAGCTCCGCGGACTCACCAGTTACCCTTCTGGCTGTTGGGGACGGCGCTGCAGTGACCTGGGTGCCGAGGTCTCTCCGGCACCCTGAGCCCCTTTCCTGCAGGCACCCACGCAGGACAGGGTTTGTGGTCCTGGAGCCTGCGGGCGGGATGTGGCCACGGTGGAGCGGGCAGTCAGAGGCTGTGCGGGAACCCCAGGCCCCTCTCCCCATGATTTCCAGCTTCTGTCTGGGCCTCACTGAGAGGGTGCTAGTGACAGTGACAGGAGAGGCAGGGGCGTGGGAGAAGGAGCGGCTCACCGGGCCTGTGCAGGCCCTCCTCGCGCTGAGCGTGGGTCCCTGGGTGTCCTGGGAGGAGGAGGGGTGTGGGGGCCCCCCTTGCGCCCTGAGGTCGGGGACAGGACAAGGAGAGGGCCCTCCAGCAGGCTGGTCCTTCCCGGGGCGCCTGCTCCCTTCAGCTGAGGCGGCCCCTTCTAGTGTCCTCGGGCTTCCGTGGCTTTGGAGACTTCCCCTGCCAGGCGCGACCGGGTTGGCATACGATGCCAATGCTCCCTGTGCTCTGTCCTCCAGGGCATCGAGGTCGACCAGGTGGACCTGCGGCGGGACATCGCCTACAACCTGGCGCTTATTTACCAGGGCAGCGGGAACATGCTCATGGCCCAGCACCTGCTGCTCACACACTGCACCGTCTGAGCCCGAGGCAGGGCAGCTTGGGGACCGTCCTGGAGCAGCTGCCCCTCACCTGCGGGGGCCCTGCTGCGCTGCCCTCGCCACCTGGGGCCCTGAAGCCGAAGCCCTGGGCCGGGGCTGCGTGGTGCAGATGTCACGTGCTGGCTGCTCGCTCCTGGCTTGTGTCACAGCTTCCACGTGAGCGTGCGTGTCCTGTGTCACCTCTAGCATTGTACGGTGGCACTCGGCCGCCGCTGACCATGTGCGGGTGGCCAGTTCCCACCTGCCACGTCTGCCTTGAGCGCGCATGTCCCTGACTCATGGTCACTTCTGGAGGGGACTCGTGGGGATGGGCGCTGGGGACAGAGTCAGGACACAGGTGCCGCCCATCCTGTGGCTGTGCAGCTACATGGTGGACACCGGAACCACACTCACTCAGTGCAGCTCTTCCACCCTAATCCGCAGGGTGTCTGTGGGATGGAAAGCTTTGCCATCACCCACGGTTGTCGCCCGGCCAGCTCGCTGGCCACCTTTCCAGGGCACAGAGGGAAGCTGCTCGCCGAGAAGTGAGCCTCTGTGATGGACGCAGCCCTGTCACCGCCTGACCTCGGTTTCCAGGCAGGAGCTGGGGGCTAAGCCCTTCCTGAACCTGCACGGCTTGGCGGCACTGACAGAGGCGGAGTTCAGAACACAGCGCCAGGGCTAGCAGAAAGGGTGCTGTCACCACGGCCGCCTCCGGGGAGCTCCACGTCGCTGAGGCCACGTGAGGGATGAGGTGGGAGCCTTGGCCTCGCCCCAGCCCCGTGTTCTTCAGTCGTGGGTAGAGGAACGCGCTGGACGTCCTGCTGGCCTCGCAGCAGCTTTTCAGGACCCTGGTACGAGGCTCGGGAGAAGCCACACGGGAGGCCGTCCAGGGCCTCCTGCTGCTGTTCAGCTCGCACCTGTGACGGGTAGAGGAACCTACTCTGTGTGTGCACCATTTAAATAAACATTTCTCGGGCATTGGTTTTCTGGGAAAAGGGCCTCGCTGCGTGGCGCAGGCTGGCTCAGCCTCGCAGGGGCTGCAACTCAGGGTGTGCGCCGCTGCTCCCGGTTTAATGCTGTTTCACATAGTGCTGACGCGTCTCGTTTCAGGCTGTGGCCACCGTGCTAGGGCGAGTTAGGGCAGGGCCTCAGGCCCGCTCTGGGTGCCACTGTGTCCAGTTCCCCTGGGGTCAAGCCTGTGCCACCACGGTTATGCGACCTCGGCATGGTTCCTGCAGCCCCTTGTAGCACAGTGCGATCCCTGCTGCCACCACCACCGTCACTCCCAGGTCGGCCCTGCAGGGAGACTGTTGTCTAGCCCGGTGCCAGGCCCCTCCTGCCTTCGGGTCTCTCTCTCCCTCGGCAGTGAGCCCTGTGTCAGCCCAGCCTGGCAGCAAAAAGTGAGGCTGAGGTATGGAAAGAAGGAAAGGCGGGGGCGGAAACGCGGGCTCGGTGCCCCCAGAGCCTGCTCCAGCTACCCCCCAGGCTGCTGCGTTCTTATGGGTTCGGCCTGATTGACGAAGGCCTTCCCAGTCACAGCGGCGTCGCGGAGAAGATCCTCATCCACCCACTGCCGCCCAGCCTCCGTCCTCCGTCCTCCCTCCCAGAAAGCACAGGGAAGCGTGGCCACGTGCAGCATCGCGGGGTCTGCGCCGGGCCCTGCTGCTTCCTGGGCAGCGGAGCTAGAAGGCCCGAGCGGCACATGCCCCGGGTGCTGATTCAGGGCAGTGCTGCTCTCGTTTGGCCCATGGTTCCGTGGGCTTCAGTACCTGGCAGGGGCCTGCTGCTCAGAGAGTGCAGGTGGCAGACGCCGCTGTCACCGCATGGCTGCTGGGGAGCAGCGAGGACGAGGGCCCAGGGTCCCACTGACAGCCCCCAGAGGTCGCATGACACGATGGCTCCACCAGCTTTGACAGCACGGCTGGTGAGGAGGAGACCACAAGTGGGCATCCGGAGAAATCGGGGACCTGGGCTCCGGCAGCCCGCAAGGCTCCTGTGCACGTCTGAGTCTCCAGGGTCATTAGGGCTCCAGGTCTGCACGGCCCGAGGCCAGCGCCTCCTGGAAGGAAGCCGTAGCTGTGAGCTGTGCAGCATGACCTGTCCCGTCCCGAAAGAGCAACGACGGGTTGGACCAAAGCCAGTGTGTGGCCTCTGTGCGCGGTGGCAGGACATGGCAGCCCGCCCTTTAGGGGGACCCCTGTGGGGACTGCCCCCCCTTGCCGGCCAGGGGGTGCCCTTCTGTGGCCAGTGTTCCTGAGCACTAACTGGACCGGGTGGACCACGGGCAGCGGCCTCGGGGAGCCAGTTCCCTAGCGCACCTCCGGGTCTTCAGTGGGTGCCCTCCTGTTGCCCTGGCACCGAATACTGGATTTAGGGGCTGCCTCCCCTCTCTGAGACAGGGTCTCTTACAGTCAGACCTGCTGACGGAGACTCCCGGGGCGCCTGCTCGTCCCCTCCTGCCTCAGCCTCCGAGTGGTCACAGCCTTGCACACAGCCTGCAGCTCCTCTCCTCCCAGAGTTGCAGCTGCCAGCTTCCTGCCCCGTGTCTCTGCGCCTGACCCCTCGTCAGTCTGGCTCTGAGCAGCCAGCGAATTCTGCGCCTTGGGTTCCTCACCGCTCACCTGTCTGCCACCTTCACACAAGTCTCCCACTCGGTGCGGGCTAAAGGACTCAGTTCTCTGCCAAGGCGACCAGTCAGTCCTCATTCCCGCTGAAACCCCCGGCGCCACCCGCATCTCGTCCTCCGAGACCTTGCCCGATCGCCGTGTGCTTGCTGCGGCCTTCCAGGCTTCCTGCAGCGCGCTTTCCAGAGTCTCCTGTGCCCCTCCATGCTCCGAGTGTAGTCACAGCAACGCCTGCACCTTCTGCCTACTGTCACAAGACTTGGCTCACGTTTCTGGAGGGCTCGGTCCTGGGTCTCTGCCTGTGGTGAGGCTGCTCAGCACAGGAGGAGCCCGACATAAAGATGCTGCTCCTGTGAAGGAAATCAGTGTCAAGTGCCTCAAAAGCTAGGGTGCAGGTCCCTGCCGTTCCCCTGCTGGGCGTCTTCCCAGAACTGAAAACACGATTCCACAGTGATGTATGTGCTCATGTTTACAGCGGCACAGTTTTTAGTGGCTAAATCTTGGAAACAACCAAGATGCCCATCAACCAGTAAAAAGCTGTGTTTTTTTCTAAATACAAACTCGGCCATAAAGAAAGATAAAGTGGAGCCATTTATAGCTAGCTGGATGGACCCCAAGACCATAACCGTAAGTGAAATAAATTGTACACATCCGTGTGTACATACCACGCTCACTCTGCTGTGAGAAACTGAACCTGTAAACAAGAACAGAAATGTGCAACAGATAAAAATCGGGAGAAATTGTTGAAAAGGAAGAGGGATCTGGGGGGACGGGAAGGGAAAGACCAGTGAGAAGAGGACCAAAAGGAAACAGCTTTGTGACTAGGGAGAGGGACACGAGAGCTGTCACCTCGTGTGCACGCCCTGTGCGCCTGGACAGTGCCAATAAACCCAACAATAATAAAAAGAGAAGCCAAAAAAAAAAAAAAAATGGGGCTGGGGATTTAGCTCAGCGGCATAAGCGCCTGCCTTGCAAGTGCGTGGTTGTGAGTTCGATCCTTGGTCCAAAAAAAAAACAAAAAGAGGAGAGGAAGGGGTCCCATTCGGAGACGCAGCCCTGCAGAGCAGCTTCCTCCCACACCCACCCCACCTCGATCCTGTGTCGGTTCTCAAAGAACAACATAAATATATGGACCTAGGTGGGGTGGTGCACGCCTGTAACCCAGCACTCAGGAGGCTGAGGCAGAATTAACGCAACAGAAGTGTGAGGTCAGCCTCAGCTACATAGTGCGTTCAAGGTCAGCCTGAACTGCATAGCGAGACCCTGGCTCAAAACACACTCACGCCTCCTACCTGGCGTGGGACCAGGCGCCCTGCAGAGCTGCCCAGGCCCCTGGGAGCCCAAGGAGAAAGAGAACTGGGGATCTGCAGGGATGGACAGGACGGGACCCTATGGAGCAGGGCTCAGGCCTTGGCGCAGTGCAGCCTTGGTGTGTGGCAGGGCAGCCCAGGGACCCCACTCCCAGTCCTGTGGGAGAGGACATGCAGGTGGAGCGGCACAGCACGGTGAGCCAAGCTCCAAGGGACAGGTGCCACCAGAGCCAGGGAGAGGGGCATGACCCAAGGGGGCAGCAGCGACCCTGGCATCCCTCTCCTCTGCACTGAGCTCAAGGGGCAGTGGGCCCCGTGCACCCCAGGATGCAGAGGAGCTCACCGGTACAGGATGGCCAGGGCCACACAGGAGAATCTGTCCCTAGCTGTCCTCTGCAACAGCTCTGCCACACACACAGCTGTGTCTCCCCTTTCCAGAGCTGGCACAGAGGCGTGCAGTGGCCCTGTGTTAAGCCATGTGACTTCCTAGGGCAGTGTCCTGCGCAGCAGGGCGGGGCCGTCCGGAACGACGTAGCACTGTATCCGTCTTGCAGGGCCTCTCACCTGAGGGAGGGACAGATAGGGGTGACTGTCACCACCAGAGGGAGTTCGGTGCTCACAGAAGGCTCACACTCAGGCTTTGGGGAGACACTGGACGGGTGTGTGTGTGACAGCTGTCACACCTGGGGCAGGCAGAGTCCAGCAGGCAGCCTGGGCTGTCCCTCCCTTGGGCCCTGCCACTAGGGCTGCACTAGCAGTGCGCCGTGAGCCAGGAACGGCCAGAACTGCAGAGTCTGGACTGCGGCCAGAGCAAATCCGGGACGATTCCAGGGCATTTCCCACATCCGGAACAGCCTGCCCCGCCTGCCGGCCAAGTTAAATGATGCAAGCCCCCTCCCCGCCATTCCTGCTCTCATCCCAGCGGGTCCTGTGCTGTGACGGGGGGTGGGGGACCTGGCTCGGGTGACCCTGACTCGGGTGCCCGTCAGTGCCGACCACAGGCAGAGCGCCTGTGTGCTCCCATCTCACTGCTGGGGTGCAGTGGCCAAGGAAATGCTCCACGGCCGAGCTGCGAGGAGGAGCCGTCACCTGCCCCAGCCTCGGGGTTCAGTCCACGGTTGGCTGTCACCTGCCCCAGCCGCCCCCGTCTCAGGGTCCAGTCCCCAGTCGCTGTCACCTGCCCCCGCCTCGGGGTCCAGTCCCCACTGTTAGCAGGGCGGCTCACCTCCTGCCGCCTTAAAGGAGTGTGCGTGCTGGAGCCGGGAGAATGTGGCCTTCCAGGTGCTGGCCTCGGCCACCTACACCCGGGCCCCAGCTCCTAAGGGCACCTGCAGCCGTGAGCCGGTCCATGGCCGGATCATTGACCTTCCACATGCAGGGAATTCTGGGCACGTTTCAGATCTAAGCCACCAAGTGGGTCTTGCACATGACTCAGCCAGGACTAAGTTTTCCCCCAGGATGGGAAGACTCGCAGGTGGCAGCCTTTCCAGGGAGGAGGGACTGCGCCCTCCCACGCCTGCCTCCGCCTTGGTGCTGTCCCCTCACTGCGGGAAACAAGCCCGCCCGACGGAAGCAGCCCCAAACTCCTAATCTGTACCCGGTGAGGCAGAAATCTGTGGTCCACGAGGCTGTGGGCAGGTATCCTGCTCGGGACTCTGTCACACTGTGTGCTTTCACAGAAGCGAGGCCCTGTTTTCCGGAGTTGCGGGCATTCTGAGCACAGCACTGAGCCTCGTGGCTGAGCTCCCACGACATTCACGGCATCTTTTGGTCAGACTTGCATGTTAAAGTTTGGTGCAAGAAAACTGACCAGCGTCTCCTCCCCTCCATTAAAGCCTGCACGAAGCTTCAGGGCACTGCGGGCTGTGTTCTGGGAAATGAGGCAGCTCCTAGACAAGGGAATGGAAGTCCCAGCGGCCCACCCGGGCCACACCCGCCTGGCGGAGAGCAGGCAGCCACGGTGCCGAGGCGGGCCACACACAGAGGGTGCGGGAGGACCGAGGTGGGCTCCACATAAGGCACTACTGTCTACCTCACACCAGGGCCAGGCAGCATGGTCACCTGGGTCACCTTCATCCCAAGCCACACAGCCGGTGACGGAGCTGAGGCCTGGGGTTTCCAGGCGGAGTGCTGACAGCCACTTCCCTGTGTCCTGGTTTGTGCACACTTCAGTGTTGTATCTTAGTTCCCTTGTATTTACCACAAAACCCACCACACAAGAAACCCACCCGGTCTAGACCATCCTCACCCTCCCTGCCCTTCCGTCTCTTCAGGTTGTATACATAACAGGTGAGATTGACAGCCCACATTAACAATCAAAGCCGCAGGGCATCTGTGGTCCCAAAGCTGCGCATGTACAGACAGTGATGCGCTTTGACTCCTGTGTTGTCCCCACGACTGAGCTAAAAGCTGGAGACTTCGGCTGCTTGAGGCACACAGTCGAGCCGTCCCTCCAAGAGAAACGCCAACCCCTGGGTACTAAGTCCACCGGAAGATGTGCTCCAGGCGTGAGCACTCGGTCCCGAGGGCTTGACAGACACCACTCCAGGCCGTCTGCAGCAGCGACCCTGGCATCATCACGCCCAGGACTGTCAGAGTGGGGCATGCAGAGAGAAATCCGAGTAACGCAATTCTCTGATAAGTTCTCTTTTTTTGCTGTGCTCCTGGGAATCAAACTCAGGACCCCAAACTTGCCAGGCAGGTGCTGTACTACTGAGCTGTGGCCCTGGCCCTCTGATGTGTGATCCTTTACGCCCTGGGGAGTCACAGCCTCTTACCTCAAGACTCAGTCCCAGCCAACAGCATGGAGCAGAGTGTGGTTCACACGGGCTTCTGGGGAGCGGCAGGGCGGGCATCACTGAGCTGTCACCTTGCTGGAAGGAGGGCACATCAGCACTTAGCTAGGCCCACTGGCACTGCTGAAAGCCAGCGGAGGGGATCAGAAAACATCCTGGCCAGCTCCAAACACAGTGGCCCTCGAGGAAGGGCCAATGGAGACGCCTGCTCTCCTTCACGGAGCATCAGCTCCACAGGGGACGCCTCCTCCTGGCCCTGCCTCTCGTCCCCAAGTCAGTGACAAGGAAGGGCAACAGGCACGCCAGGCAGCCGGCCTCAGGGCCATCTTGGCCATCTCCCTGGCAGACCCACAGGGCCTGACCAACAGGGACGCTGTGTCGGCCAGCGACATCTCCTGTCATACAACAAACTAAATTTATTGGGGGGACAGGGAAGGGGCATGGGGTGATACAAAAGTGTCTGTGGGGAAGGCTCAGGTCGGGCTCCAGGGCCCACACTCAGGCCGTGTCCCCCCTCCCGCGGCTGCAGGACCCGCCCGCAACGGCCAGGCTCAGTCCTGGAGGGGCGGCTGTGGTCAGGGACACTTCTTTCTCTCTGCCTCGGGGAGCTGCTTCCTGGACCCAGGCCCGAGGCTCTGCTTCATCTCCCACCGTTGCAGGACAGACTGCGTGGACGTGACTCTGTGCCGCACATCTCCGTCCTGCAGGAGAGAGCACACCGGGCCTGAGTCCCGAGTCGCCTGTGCGCCCAGCCAGGAGGGTTGGGAGGGGTGGCCCTGGCCTCCCTGGCAGTGGTTCCAAGGGCATGGAAACACTAGGGAGAGAGGAGCCGGGCGAGGAGCCCGCACGCACCTCTTCCGGCCAGCCGTCCTCCAGGGGCAGCCTGTGCAGCCGGTTCCTGCTGAGCTCCAGCTGGAGGCCGTCAAACTTGCACTTGAACCAGCGGTGCGCCTCCTCCAGGTTGGCCGTTATCTGCGCACAGGACGTCACGGCCGTGCATGAGACTCTGGGACTTCACCCGCTCCTGAAGTTCTGACCTACACTCTGACCGTGAGGGCCATGTGATCTATTGGTACAGTGCACCTACTAGAGTAGAGTCATTTTTAAAGTTTTGGGGGTGTTTGGTACTGGGAATCAAACTTATGACCTGGTGCTTGCCAGGCTGGCGCTGGGCTGCTGAGCCATATCCCTGGCCCTTTATTATTTTTTTTAAAGACAGGTCTCACTATGTAGTTCAGGCTGCCTTCGAACTTGCAGCAACCCTCCTGCCTCAGCCTCCCACCCTGACGTGTGCTGGGAGCACAGGCGTGGGCCGCCACACCCGGCAAGTCATTTCTGAAAGAGATGAGTAAAGAGGAGGTGCTGGCTCTCCTGCATCTGACACACTCAGGCCTGTCACATGACTCAGTGTCACTTAACAGGGACGAGGGGTACACCGACAGCGTGGCACTGTGGGCTTCAGCTTGGGCCCCTCTCTAGCTCTCACCACAGGGGTTCTGTCTACCCTCACACGGGCCAGTTTAAGCTGAGAATACAGAAAGCAAATTCACAAACGGCATAATCTATACTTTGTGTTACTGACTGAACAGTTTCCACTTTATTTTGAGTTTAGGTTTTTAAAATTTTTTTGGCAGAGTCTCACTGTGCAGCCCAGGCTGGCCTTGAACTCATGGTGATCCTCCTGCCTCAGCCTCCCGGGTGCTGGGACCACGGGCGTGCGCCACCAGGCTGGCTCTTCAGCTCACATCACACAGTAAAGCACTGAAGTCTGCACAGGTGCTGGTCCCCCTTCCGCACAGTGCTGGGCCCTTGGCCTCAGGATGAGCTCAGGAGTTTTCCGCCATCGGCCACCAGGACAGAGTCATCATGGAAACGATACATTCTCCCCACAGAGCCTGAGCTCAGCCAGTTGCCGCCGTCCTGGTCACCGTGCCCGCTGCACCAGCTCACCTGCTCCGACTCCATGCTGGCCTCTTTCAGCTTGTTCTCTGTCACCTCCTTGCATCTCTTCAGGTGTCTGACCGTTTCCTCCAGCTCCTGGAAGGTGACACAGAGCTGCAGATCTCCGGGCCAGCCCCACAGACCACAGGAGCAGGCTTCGGGCTCCAAGTCTGAGTCACCCTCAGTTTACCCCCAGGGAACCGGCGGAAGTCAGCCTCTAGCAGGACAGGACTTAGGGAGCCCCGAAGCCCGATTCACATCTCCGGATGGAGCGGCGCCCGTCCCACAAGCAGGCCCTGAGGAGGACCAGGCTCGAACGCGCCCCAACCAGGGACACAATGTTCTGTTTCTTTTGTCTTTTTTTTGTCTTTTTGAGACAAAGCCTTGCTGTGCAGGCTGGCCTTGAGCTCACTGTGTAGCCCAGGCTGCTCTCGAACTCACAATTCTCCTGCCTCGGCCCTCTGTGCTGGGATTGCAGGCGTGCGTGGTTCTGTGTCTTGTTAGATCAGGAATTGCTCAGATTCCTGCCCGACAGCGAGTGGACCAGAGCAGAGGAAAGAGCCCGGCGGAGCTAAGGCTTGCGAAGCCTTGCCGAGCGGCTGGGGTTGGGCGTGTGCAAGCCCAGGCAGCTGTTCTTTACCTTAGCAGTGGGTATTTTATGAAATTAAAACGGTGGTGGGCGTGGTGGTTCAGGCTGTAATCCCCACACTTTGGGAGGCGAGGCAGGAGGGCTACAAATTCCAGTGCAGCCTGGGCAACTCAGTGATAAAACCCGGTCCGGGAGAAAAGATTAAAAAGGAGTTGGAGGCACAGCCGGCACAGAGGTGACCGTGCCAAGCCCGAGCTGCAGGCGCCCGAGAGGCCGCTGAGAGGAGCCGCCAGCCAAGGCTTCTGTGCAGCACCGAGGCCCTGCTGGCCGCGTCCGGCCCGGCCTGGCCGCCGCCCTCACCTGGCAGCGGCTCTCCAGCTCCTGCCGCAGCTTGTGCTCGGCCATCAGCCGCAGCTCCTGCTGCCTGTTCCGGGCCGAGGTCTCGCACTGGCGCTTGGCCAGCAGCTGCATCTCCTTCTGCAGGTTGTCCACCTCTGCCGCGAACCTCTGGATGCTCAGGGACTGGCGGGGGACAGGGGGACTGGCTGAGCCCGGGCGGGGGCGGGGCGGCGGGCCGGCAGTGCGCGGGAGCCTCTACCTGTTCGTAGTTTTTCTTCTGGTATTGATCTTTAATCAGCTCCATTTGCCGCAGTTCTGTTTCTATTTGCTGAAAGTAAAAGTAGCCAACGTGAAAAGGCAGGAAACCCCGGGTGACAGCCAGCCCGGGGGCGACCCAAGAAAGCGCAGATGGGGTCGGGGCGCCTGGCTGCGTGTCCCAGGAGAGGGCGCCCCACCTTCATCCGCTCCACGTTCTGGGCGTGGGCCGTCTTCGCCGACAGGTGCCGCTTCAGCTGGGCCTTCTGGCTCCTCAGCTTCTCCTGGCTGCCGCTCAGCTCCCTCTCCAGCTCGCTGACCCTCTGCCGCAGCTCGCGGTTGGCCCTGGACACCTCCACCGACCTGAAGTTGGCTTCGTCCAGGGCTTTCTTCAGCTTGGAACACAAGGGACACATGGGGGTCTCCTCACCTGCTGCCCAGGGAGGCTGCGCTCAGGCCACCGGCAGGCGGGCAGATCCACGGAGCAGGACAAGGGACCCTTGTGACCCTGACACTAGAGAACCACCCTTCTCAGAATCGCAAAGGACACAGCTAGCTATTTGCTGTCCGCACCATGAGCGCTTGGTGCTGGACCCAGACTGAGTGCACTCGGTGCCCCCACTTCCAGCGGAATGGTTCGGGGTCCTGAACTTCCTGAACTCATCTGCTGAACGCAAGACACACAGAGAGCTCAGGCAGAGTGGACAGAAGGCGGCCGGGCTCTCCGAACGCATGGCCCAGGCTGAAGGCATTTCCCTTCCTCCTGTCTCGAGCAAGCACAGGGCCAAAAAGTGGCAATGAGTGCCACGGTGGTTTATGTAAATCTTGTGAGCTGTCTGTATTTTTAAAAGACTGATGTTTTGTTTCGAGGCAGGGTCTCACTATGCATTTTAGGCTGGTCTGTAACTTATGGAGCCGAGGGTGGCACCGGGCTCATGGAGATCCTCCTGCCTCAGCCTAGAGGTGCTGAACTACAGATGTGTGCCAACTCACCTGGCTCTAAATTTTGTTCTTAAGGACTTCAGTAAACTTCTCTTGTAGAAAAACAGCATGGTGATTACTTAAACAATTTCAGAGTCCACGGAGGCCACTCGGCCACGCTGCTGTGGGCCCCTCTGACAAGGACTCATCCCAGACCCACTTGCCACCTGACTCCGTACCTCGGCCACTTCCCGCTGGGCAGCCTTCTTCGCAGTCTCCCTCTCGGCCTGGAACTGCTTTTTCAGGCTTTCTATGCGCTCGGCGTGCATCTCGGCTTCCACTTTGCACTCCTCTGTCACCCGCTCCCTGCTGGGAGGAAGCCGGAAGGTGGCTCAGCTCTAGAAATCCCCTCAGGAGGCCGGAACTGCGCCACCGGGACACAAGGCTCCACAGAGCAGGCCGGCAGACCAGTCTCACTGATCTGGAGCTCAGTGACAAGAACAAAGATGTGCTGGCCCCGTGCTGGCCCCTCCAACCAAGAGGTCACATCTCACATGAGGACAGACAGTGACCGCAGGACAGGGCCGGGCCCAGGACGTGGTCAGCACCGTGAGGAACCTCCGTGTTCACTGTGCTCCCCACGGGTGGCATCACTGCCACCGCACTGTCTCTGCAGGTCGGCGGCCAGGGCACCCTCAGGACGAGCACCGGGCACGGGAGGGACCTCCTGAGGGCCGTGTCCCAGCAAGGCCCACACGGGTCCTTTGCTCCTGCTCTGTGGGAAACCAGCTCCTGCTGCCCAGAGGGCTGGGGGCCCTAGAGAGCCCCCCTCGCGCTCCAGGTCTCAAGACGGGCCTCGTGTCTCAGCTGGGGCCCAGCCCCTGGCACTGTATTGGGAAACACAGGTAAACGTGACAGAGCCCCAGGAGAGGCCAGTGCACACCCATCTCTATTCTGGGTCAGACATGGAGGAAGGGACATGCTCATATGTGGACAGAGTTCTCACAGGTGCGGGCGGCGCAGGTTTCACGGTCCAGTGGAGGGTCTCAGCCCAGGCCGGCTTGGTTTGGTTTAAAACAATGTTCTGGCTTACACAGAGGCTGCAGAATCACGTACAAATCCTAAGGTGGGCATGGTGGTGCACACCTGTAACCCCAGCACTCGAGAGGATCAGTGTGAGTTTGAGACCAGCCTGGGCTACAAAGTGAGCTCATGGCCAGTCTGAACCACTTGTCTCAAAAAGACCAAAAATAAAATAAAATAAACTCTTCAGTGTCAGCGGGTCGATAAGGGTTTAGGCAGAAAATTGTTCCAAACTCTAAAAATTCTTTGGGACCATAAACGTTACCCCTCCCTGAGGCCATTCAAGTACGGCACTCTCCTCCTTGGTCGCAAGGGGCGAGGCTCTACAGGCTTGGGAACAGAGACAGAGCCTCTGAGGTTCTCCCTAGGAGGAAATAAGAGTGGATGCTGACAGCCGGAGGGGACAGTGCCTGGCTGCACATGTCATGTGCCAGGCTGACACCCTCACGTTGTGGTGCGGGCCCAAGAAGAAGAATCGAGCTGAGGCCAGATTTATGGGGGGGGCAGAGCGAAAGACTGTGGGTTACATGTACAGGTCAGTTAAAACAAATATGAGGCCCAAGCAGAAGAGTTTCAGGGCTAAGTGAGGGTGACAGCAGCTGAAGGAGGCGCACGCCGCATGCAGGGCACAGAACACTCCTTCCTGCACTGTGACGGGCTGGTGTGCTGGTGACACCGCAGTCCAGCACCCGGGAAGGCGGAGGCAGAGGCCGGGGCTGTCACCCGGAGGCCCTGTCTCAGCGATGACGTCGGCAGACTGTGAGGACGCGATGCTGGTCCTGCAGCTGCTCCCGCTCACACAGGAGGACACAGAGGCCTGCGGTGAGTCCCCGGGCCTGCGTCCCAGGCCCCAGCACCACTACCTCCGGTCCTAAGGAGTTGTTTCAGTGGCATTCGCAGACGGAAAGGTGGCATGAGGGCCGGCGCACAGTGCCTGGGGTCAGACGTGGTCTTAGGAGCTGGGACCGCGATACCGGCCTGGCGGGCTGACTCCAAGACCCACGTCTGAGTGAGCACAGTTCAGAGTTACCAAAGCCAGGACGATAATCACACACAGCGTGGACACAAGGCCACACGTGCTCCCTCTGTCTGTCTCATGTAGCTGTTGGTCTGTGGCAGGTGTGGGGTGGAGGAGGACACAGATGACAACATGGCATCTCCAGTGGCCTCGGTGGCTCCCATTCCGTCGGGCAGTGCTTCCTGGGGATGGTGCCCCATCTCGAGCCCCACCGGAGGCAGCTGCAGTCTCCCTACAGCGGGACACAGGTGGGGGGCAAGCACAGCCCGCCAGAGGAGCCACCAGCTCTGCAGACCATGAGGAACCCAGTGCCATCCAAACCCGCATCAGGGAAGACTCAGGAGAAGACTCAGGAGAAGACCCACTCAGGAGAAGACTTCATGACAGGCAGCTCCGCCATGCTTCGGGAAACGCTGGTAACTCCTGGGTCATTATCATCTAGGTTAGGGAAGCCTCGCTATGCATTATGTCTATTGGCTTTTAACTGTTTTTGGACACCCCTATTCTTGTAAAAGCAAAAGCTGTGGGCTTGTACCCACGCACGACACTGTGTGTGTTATCTCGGGGAATTTCCACATCTTCAGAAGACTCATTGTGGGAAAGAATGGAAAAAACCAAACCGAGAACCCTGTTTGGCCCGGGGTGGTGGCGCATGTCTGTAATCCCAGCACTTAGAAAGCTCAGGTAGGAAGATGGCGTCGCGTTTAAGGCCAGCCTGGGCTACGCAGTGAGCTCACGGCCAGCCTGGGCTACGCAGTGGGACCCTGTCTCAAAAAAAGAGAGATGACTAATTGTGGGTCTTGACCCAAGAACGCATGTCAAGAAGGCTGCCCTTTAAGATAAGGAAACGGCAGGCAGAATCAGCTGTTGGAACCTACGGTGTGAATACTGATAGCAAGAAGCCGGAGCCCGGGGTCCCTGCCCGCTGCCGTCCGGGCCTCGGCACCAGGGACTGGCTTTGTGGGAGACAGCTTCCCTGCAGACCAGGGTAGAGAGGATGACCTAGGTATGTTACGTCGATTGTGCACTGATTTCATTTTCTGCCATGGCTTCTCAAAAGGTCTGCAGCGTGATCCTCGACAGGTGCCCGCCCTGCCCTGCTCTGCCCTGCAGGGTCGCACCCAGGCCACAGGGTCTGACAGAACTCGGAGCTCAGGCCAAGGTGTGAGCGCTGTGGGGGCTGGGAGCACAGGAGGCCGTGGCCTCAGCCTCCACCTGCCTCCTGCTGTGCAGTCTGGGATGGGGACAGGAACCTCGGATCCACTGACCTCGGGTTAAAACTGAAAGTCGTGAATCATGGCGTGAGAATCCACGCCAGGACGGGTCAAGCCACCCAGGCTGCCGCTGCCCCTACCCAAACAGACGTGCCTCGGTGGAAAGAGCGGGCCCTCATCCTTCCCTAGGCGGCAGCTGTGCGGTGGATTGGGGAAGGCCAAGGGCAGGGACCCCGCCAGGTCCCTCCTCACCCTGCGACCTCCCAGCTCTGAGCGGGAGGGGCCTGCGCCAGCTCGGGGACCTCCGGCCATGCCCTCCCTCCCCGTCGGGGCCAGCGCCTCACCTGAGGGTTTCTAAATTCTGCCACTCAAGCTCTTTGCTCTCCAGTTTTTCTTGCACGTGGCCCAGCTGGGTCTGCAGGTGGCTGTTGGTCTGCAGCGCCTGCTCCAGGCTCACAGCCAGCTTCCTGTTGTCCTCTCGGGCGACCTCCAGAGATTTCTGGAGCGGCTCCATCTGAGAGAGAAGAGTGTTTTCACATCCACGGCGGCGGTGGCAGACACTGAAGTCCGCAGCTCGCTCCTCACCCCGGCTCCCGGCTCCTCGGGACCAGCAGGTGCCGGGGTGGAGCGCACTGGGAACCGTGGCAGGTTCTTCATGGGAGACTGAGGGGTGGGAGCCGGGAAAATGCAGCCCGCTTTATTTAACTTTTAAATTCTTAACCAGTTCAGTTCCTCTTCCTGATTCTATCACCTTCTGGTCTCATTCCCTAGGAAAGATAAAAACTGGCAACTTTTCCTTGCACGTAGTTTTAAAAGTTTATCCACGTGAAATGTGCACATGTATAACACGTATGCACATAGCACACGCAGATACAGTCACATGGTGCACACACGTGTGTGTGTCTTTTCTAATAGTGGGATCACCTTAGCTACTTACAGACTAAAAGTAATTTTTTAAAGCTCTTTGACCCCTGAAATTATTTGTGGATTAATATAAATTAATTATGTTTCATTTATGAGCTGTTTTTCATTAAAACACATGAAAAGTGTGTGGACCATGTAAGACAAGAAAATTAGCCTGCACTCCAGTCCTGGTTTTTCTACAAGACTGCAGGGCTGTTTCCTATGTGCGAACAGGTCGCTGTCTAAAGCAGGACTTGGATGAACTGGAAACCGACAGACCGCTTTCCTCGCCTCTCTAAACCAGTCCCACCCCCGGTGCCAGAAAGGGCGGCGCTGCCACCTGCTCCAGGTCGCACCTCGCTGGCGTGCTGGGCATCCACGACAAGCATCCTGGCCTGCCACTGGTCCACCTCGGCCTCCAGCTTCTGCACCCGCTGCAGGTGTAGAGACCTGGGGATGGAGAGAGCACCAGGAGCGGCCTTGAAGAGTGTTGTCTAGGAAGGCTGCTGCTTGGGAGCCTCCACCCTGTCGCTGGCGCTCCCAGCACACAAAACCCTGAAGAGCTGGCCGATCGCAAGCTGCAGGTCAAAACACTAAGCCACCTAAGTACCAAGTGACCCGTCGTACTCAGTTGGGTCGGATGCCTGTGGGCAGCGATGGCGAACCTCTTAGAGGTCTCAGTGATGACCAACGGCTGGCTGTGTGCCAGGGGCTCACCACCGCTGCATTAGGGTATCTGGACACGTCCCTGACTGGTGGTGGGCCGGTCACTTTACACTACATGGCCCCTCATGTCAAGAAGACTCGCTTGCACAAGGACTGCCTGCCCTTCAAAGTTCTGCTTCTCACTACAGTTGCTACTGAGAGATTTAATAGGAATGGTGAATGATATTTTATGCTATTCTCTTAACATTTTGAACTCAAAGCTATATATTTATGTATATATACCCTAATAATATATATCCTAATAATACTAATAATATATACCCTAAATATACTCTAATAATATATAACAAGCACAAAGAAAAAAAGTAAAATTCACTTGTTTTCTCATGACACACAGGCACTGTGTACCACCGATACACACAAGTCCTGTTACGTATGTTACAAGACTCGGACTACTTCTATAACCAAAAAAGGATTAATTTTATTATACTCAAAGGAATTTACTTAGGAAATTTGGCTAGAAGTACTTCTCAGAATGATTCACCTCATTATTAATCTTGAAATAGCGTAGCAGTGAATTCAAACCGCACGAGCCACTTAGCTCCCTTCTCTGTGTGCAGGCGCCTCACCACGGCCGGCGAGCTCCCGCCCAACCACCCCAGCCCAGCCTCGGCCATCTCTGCAGCTCCTGTTCGCAGCCCTGACGTGAGCAGTAGCTTTTACACGTTCCTGCTGGCTGGGGCCATCGGGGTACATGCATGGCTGTCCCCTGGGCAGTTTGCACCAGCCGGTGAGGCCGTCTCAGGCTGCCCAATGGGTCAGTCGTACATGTGCTGCGGGTGGTGCAGAGACGCCCACGAGACAGGCATTATGGCCCCATCATGAATGTAGAAAGGTGCAGAAGGCTGCAGGCTGCGGATGCAGCTCAGGGGCACAGCGCCTGCCTGCAGGCACAAGGTCCTGAGTTCGATTTCCAGTACAAAAAACAAAACAAAGGTGCAGAAGTCAGTCCAGGTAGAACAGTATCACCACACATGAATTTCAAAGATACACACTCCTTTCTCTCACCACCAGACAGGCCACTTTCAATCTTTAGATTCCTCTCATCCCATCTCACGTGCCCGTTCTCCGCGCACTGCTTGACCCCCACTGTTGCTTAGCACATCAAGCACAGAAGCAGAAGCACAGGCACCTTTCTTTCTTGAGGCCTGCGATCTCGGAATCCCTTCGCCCCAGCTCTATCTGCACTTTCTCCAGAGCTCCTTGCATCTTACTGTGAGAAGCCAGCACGTTTTCCAGCATGATCGTGACTTTGCAGTTGTCTTCTTTTGCTTCTGCCAACTGTCGCTGAAAGTTTCCCACCTAGAAGGACATGAAGCACGACAAAGACACTTGACTCTTTCCGGTGACTCTTGGGAGAGAGCATAGAAAGTAGGCCAGAGAGGAGGCTGGCGGGACACAGTATTGTTTATATTATGTTTCCTAAACTAACGTGACTGGGATAAACAGCAAGATAGAGCTTCCCGCGCATTCTCTGGAGATATGAGGTCACTGTGCTTGGGCCCAGAGTGCATGGAGGCCAGACTGCTCGGCTGCAGCCCCAAGAGGCCAGCAGAGGACACAGGTGAACCCCACTACTGTAGAGCGCTGCAGGGAGAGAAAAAAGATTGTAGGAGAAAGTGAAAGCCGTGGAAGGAGCATGCAGCTCACAGCTTTCTGCAGAGTTTGAGAAGTGGCTGAGTAACATGGCAGACACTCAGTATGAAACATTCAGCCAAAAAAATAATGATTCCATCTCTTGCAGTGAGAAGGACTGATACAAAGGTCACTATAGGAAGTGAAATAAAGTCAGGCACAGAAAGAAAACTGTGTCTCTTAAATGGTGTGATCAAAAATAGTTTAAATTTAAAAAGCTGTCCCAATAAAAGACACTAATCCCCTCAAAATGCTTTGCCTCACTCCACACATACTTATCCCATCATCCTTGCCTTCTTCTGAAGCAGCTCTGAAATCCTCTTTGTGTCTTTAGCTGGGCTGCCGTGGTTACCCTAAAGCAATTACAACTTTTTTCACGCTCACGTTGACCTGGGGAAGAGCCAGAAGTCACACAGCCCCCAGATCCAGTGAAGAAGGCAGATACGGAAGCAGCGCCATGCTTTGGGCAGAAACTGCCACACAGAAACAGTGTGTGACCCGGAGTGTAGTCACGATGCGGGGTGAGACCACTGACCTGCCTCTCAGCCTGTTTTCTAAGAACCTCATTTTCCTCAACTCAATAAGGCCTTGTAACATCAACAGTGCATTACAGTGTATCCTGGGCCCCAACTCGGCTCACACATCTCCATCAAGGTAAAGAAACACAATACTGTATTCATGTTGGATCGTGACTGAAAGCTGGGTGACTTCTACTGAGAACTCTGAATCATGGTCACAGTATTCCTTAAAAAGCTGACTCTGAAGCCGCATGACTGCACAGCTTCCAGGAGCTGTACTGCTTATGAACCACAATGCACAGCACACTTTAACATGCACCTCTCTCAGCTGCAGCTCACCACTGACTGTATCACACAAGCTGAAACTTGGCTCACACTGTTGTTAAGGCTTGACATGCCACTTCTTGTGCTGACGATCTCTGCCTTCCCATCAGGCGGCAGGTGGTGCAGCAGCTGCAGTATTTCTTAGCCACACCCTGTATGTAGAATGTGAAGTTGATTTGGGGGAAGTAGAGACTAGAACAGTGGCTGCCAGGATCTGAGAAGGGCATGGGAAGCATCCCCCTCAAGGCTTCATCTGCTCATAGGTGGGGTTTTTTGAGGGGGATGAATTATGGGGACACTACAACTGACTCTCTGCTGGGATATGCGGTCTGGCTAGAAGAGGTAGTCACTGAGGTGTGACTGGGAGGGTGTTTCCCTCCCGGTTCCTCCCTTCTCTCTGTTTGCAAGTGGCTGTGATGTGAGCAGCTCTCCTCCTACATGTCCACAGACCATGCTGCTGTGCCATGCAGCTGGCCAACCATGGACTGTAAACATGAGTCAAAACCAGCCTCTTGTCCTTTACATTGTGGGTATCAGATATTGTGACTCATGGTCAGGATATGGTTTTGTACCAGGAGTGGGGTAATTGCTATGAATACCTGATGTAGGTTGGCCTAACTGATGCCATCTTGAGCCCTGCATTTAACTAGTGCCCTGTATCTAATGCAGGAAAATGTAAAATTACTCAGTATAAGTTCCCATGAGAAAAGCAGAACAAGCTGTACCCACAGGGAAAAAATTAACCTGCTCAACTGAAGCAGCAGGATACAGGTGTCCAAAAATTAATGTAAGAATCTAGCTAAATTGTTTCCAACAGTATGTCTTTTTGTGGTTCTCTGTTTAAAAGCTTTGTAATTTTCCAGTTTGGGGCCATTTGTTTGGACTCTGAAACGGGGTGGGGGTGGGGTTCTGTATATGAGTGGTCCTGAGCTCAGCTAATTAAATTCCAAGTTTATCAATTTAGCTGCTTGGACTCCTATATGGTTCACGTTTTAAACCCACCTCATGTGGGGGCTCGTCCAGGATTATAGGACCCAAGCTTCTCTTTGAGGCGATTGTTCCTCAGGGGAACTGCCCAGAGATGTTCCTTGCCCCCAAGGAATCATTTTGTTTCCTAATTCAAGTGAGCAGTCCAGATCCTTACCAGTGAGATTGTTTTAGTTTTTATTAGTATCCCTTGGGGATCTTTGGAGAGGTTGGATACAACATTAAAATCTCCAAGACCTACCATTCTCAGACCAAGATGTTGGCTGAGACTTGTTGGCCATAAGGTCAAACTGGTTCTTGGTGTCAGTCTATTAGTCTTTGTCTTTGTTTTGTTAATCTTGTTTATCACTGGTTTAATGTTCATTATTCATCTGTTATTCACATGATTGGGTCAGTCTGCTTTTGCTTTTTGTTGTCCCTGCAATGTGATCTTAACTATTTTCAGGAATTGCATTGGAGAGCCTCTTCCTATGGTGAACCTGTTTACCCAAGGAAACTCCAAACTTTTTTGTAAATTTAAACGGTCTGCTTTTGGAGTCTCTTGGTCTCTGGAAGGGACTTTTAACCTCTTTTTGTGTCAGCAGGTCTACCTCAACTGAAAAACAACAGTGCTGCCACTGTTGCCACTGCTGTAGGCACCCCACCCAGCAGGTTCCCTGGTGAGAGGGGTACTCATCCCTACCTGCAGACCCCAACACCCTAAAACCTGAGGCCCAGATGTCTCCAGGCTCCCACTGCACAGACCACCTCAGTGCCCCACTCCTCCTCCCCTGCACGCTGAGCAATCAGTCTGAGCATGGCACCTTAACTGTTTCCTACCCAGTGACTCCTGGCCCAGCAGCAATGGCACAACTCGAGAGCCAGAGCCAAAGCCCATGCCATGCAGTGGGGACAATGGAGGCTTCCAGCTTTCCAGGGCTGAGCACACAGGCAGCAGTGTGGCTTCCCTGGTGGGCACAAGCCTGGTAGGCTGCAGCACCCCTTCTCTGAGCTTCTGCCCAGGACCCCCTCTCCTAACTCCCTCCCCGTGAAGAGCCTGCCAACAGCTTCCCCAGATCCAAAATAAGGCTATCCTATGGTTTTGCCAGACTCCTTTGGGTGCTTTTAAAAGCAGCTGCTTGGAAGCTGACTAATCTGTCTAAACAGAAGTAAGTTAGGGACCTGATAAGGTTCCATCTCCATTCTTGGAGCATCTCCTATATACCTGCTGATGTGGAAACAACTGAGAATAGACTCACCCTAAACATCACATTTGTCTCCCAGTCGACCCTAGATATTAGAAAAAAAGCTTCAAAGGCTAGAAAGATTCAAAGGTTAGGCACTGTCAGAGTTAGTGGAGATAGCCCAAAAGGTCTTCAATAACCGAGAAGATCCATGGAACTTGAAAATTGGACTGAGCTAGAGGAACAAGCTTTCCCTACACCTTTTCAGTTGCATGTGGCAGTGTGTCATGGGATCACCTAGGACCCTGGAAGAGGCCTATCACCTATCTTTCCTGGCGATTAGCCAAATTGCCTACAGACAACTACAGCCCCTAATAGATGGAAGCAAGCCTCTAACAGATGGCTTTCCAATGCTTGCATTGTCCAGTACCCTTCTAATGGAGTCTTCAACTGCATTGAGTTCCTGTCTACCTCTGCCCTCAATCCAGTGACTCTCCTGCCTGATGATGCCCCTCAATGCTGATACATAATTGTATGGACATTACTGACACGTCTCAGGCCTACAAGCTGACCTGACTGATGTCCTGCTTGCCCGGTCTGAAGCCCTCCTTTTCACAGAAGACAGCAGTTACCTCCTCCAAGGAACTCGAGTGGCAGGAGCTGCAGTGACCATTACCTTCATAACTGAGGTAATATGGGGCTAAGCTTTACGGTTGGGAACTCTATCTCAGCAGGTACAACTGAGAGCACTTACTCAAGCCCTAAGATGGGGACAAGTAGTTGGTGCACTTTTGCTACCATCCATGTGCATGGGGCCATTTATCAGAAAAGAGGACTATTAATCTTAGCAGGAACAAAGATCAAGAATGCTCCTGAGCCATTTGGTGGCCCCAAAATGTTGCCATTATACGCTGTTTGGGGCACCAATGAGAAGACACTCCAATAGCTCATGAAAATGCCCTCACTGTTGAGACAGCCAGAGAGGTAGCACTAAAACCAGTGGGGCCCATAACACTCCTCCCAGCTCTCCCGCCACCCATGCTACTAAGGTCACCCTATTCAGATTCAGACTTGAGACCAGCCAGGAGGTTAGAGGCCCAATTCTCTCCAAAAGGCTGACTGATGGTTGGGCCCCAGCTCATCCAGGAGACCCATCGGGCCACTCACTTGGGGAAACCAAATTGGCCAAGTTATCTTGTCTGACTAAAAAGATCAGCCAAAAATGCCCGCAGTGTCTTCAAGTGAGCCCTAAGCTGGCCACCACTGATGTTGGAAAGAGACAGTGAGGACTCAGCCCTGGAGACCACTGGGAGATAGACTTTGCCAAAATGGGCCCAGGAAGAGGGGGACATAAATGTCTATTAGTTCTCATAGACACATTCACCCAGTGGACGGGAGGATTTGCCACTCGGACTGAATCAGCTCTCATCGTAGCTAAGAAACTCCTCGAGATAGTACCTCGATTTGTCTGCCCACCTCCCTGGGGTCCATAGCTCAGATCCATAGCTTAGATTACTCAAAATTTAGCTGCAGCTTTGGAAATCAATTAGAAATTACATTGGGCCTACCGGCCTCAAAGTTCAGGCCAAGCAGAGAGAATGAACAGAACCACAAAGGAAACTACTTCAAAACTGGCTGGCAGACAGGTGAAAACTGAGGAAGTCTCCTTCCTCCT